TAACTATAATTTTATAGTTGTAAATATAACAATTAATATAAATTAAGTAATAAATTTCAAGTTATAATTTTTGGTACATATATACTTCTTATATATATAATTATAATAATTAGCTTTATTTGACTAGTCTTAATAGTAGAATTGTGTATAAAAAAATATAAAGATGGAGATTAGTGAATTTGTATGTTCTAATCTGTTAAAATCATACTATTAGCGAGTTTTCTTATAATTTACTTAAAAATCCACGGAAACTTCTACAAAAAATACTAGTAATAAAAAACATACTAATACACATATTTACAAAATTACAGCTTAAACTAATAATTATTTGAATTAATATAGTGTATTCATTGTGTGGGAAAGAGTCTGGTTCACGCCAAAAGTGTAATTTTTCATACCCTTCGGATTGTAAGTATAATAACTTTTTTTCTGCTCATTATTTTGTCTCAAAATTTCAGATATATATTTATTATATGTTAAGCTACATAAATACAAAATTTTATGAAGTTTGAGCAAAATGTGAGGGAGAAATAATAAAAGTGTCCACATGTAGGTACTGACCGCAAGGGGCACCGCGACAGTACTTCTTTTGACCTTTCTCGAACCGAGCTCGGTGCAACAAAGCAGCGCCATGCTACACAAGGCTCACGACCCTCTGACTTTGCCTACAGAGCTATGGATAGGCATCATCAAGTTAGCCATAAGGTCATCTGACTAGAAGCCGTACGTGTTTTTTTTTTTTTCTCTTTCCGCCTGCGGACAACTTTGCTCTCGTTGAGGGATTCAAGAACGCGTCGTCCAAATTTCGGGAATTGGTCGAAATAGCAGAGAATACTTTCCGTGCAAGAAGTAATTGTCGTCCGTCGCGCAAAGGACATCTTGGAGCGTGATTTTCCGGCTGAGTCCGTTAGGTATGATTTTTACAGGATATACTTGCCGACAACACATGCACGCAAGCGAAAACAATTGTTGATCGTACCTTTCTCACTAGGCACCTGTTAATTCGAAACGATGCATCGAACTTGCCACTTGGAGATTACTTCATAATTGCACAACGCTTTGACGGCCTCGAGTCTTTGTCAATTGCCCTACGCAAGAATTTTTTGCTGACGTGTCTCCAGGCGTCACCGATCGCGCAGAGTCTTCGCCGGCTTGACCTCATCTGCTTGCACTGCGATTTCTTTTCGTTGGTACTTGACTTTCCGAACCTTACTGAGCTGCGGTTGTCGGCCGTTCGTCCGACGAAAAGGACAATGGAGCCCCAAAAGTCAAAATACTTCCTATTCAATGAGATGTATGACGCACACCTGGTAATTATATTATTTGGAGATGCCATCAAGGACTCATAGTACTTTGACGCTTCCTACCGAGCTATGGCTGGGCATTCTTAGGCTAGCTATTAGAATGTCAGACTGGAAGCCGTACATGTTCTTTCCACCTGCAGACGACTTTGCTCTCGTTGAAGGCTTCAGGGACACATCATTGGCATTTCGTGAACTGGTCGAAACAGCAGAGCGTGCTTTCCGTGGAAGAAGTGTGATTGCCTATTGTGCAAAGGGGATATCTAAAAGACCGGGTTTCTAGACGAGTCGGTCAGGTATGATGTTTCAGTATCACCACTGTATGTGTGAATACCAAGGCTGTCTTTTAACTAGGCACCTGCTTATTAAACGGAGAGTAAACAAAGTCCTTGGAGATAATAACACATGCGTACAGCACTTTACTGCCCTCGAATCCCTTTCAATTTACCTCCACAATAACGTCGTGCCGATATGTTTTCAGGCAACTCCGATCACACAAAGTCTTCAACGGCTCGATCTTTCTTGCCGTTTCCCTTTTTTCTGCAACTCTGGAGATATTCTCTTTGATTCAAGCGCTACTTTGAAACTCGATTTCCCGAACCTTGTTGAGTTACGATTGACAGTTGAGGATCCAGTGGTTAGGCGAGCAAAGGCATTGTGCCCGAAAGGGTTTTTGTTGCAGAGTGACTTTTGTGAGGTAAATGCTTTCCTAATCATCACATCACATCTGCGTCTGCTCACAAGCTTTGAACTCGTACAATTTTTGTATGGTCAGGCATGGCGTACATCCAGACACATCTCTATTCTAAAAGGTGTTCTTATCAAACTTCAGTGCCTTCGGCTTCTCTCCGTGCACATGACCTTTACACATGAGGCTGAAGTGGCCATAGCCTTTGAATATCGTTGTCGTTCACATCATATAAACGAGTATCAGAAAGGCAGTCTATGGTCTGAGTGTAAACGTTGCAGGGATCGTAAACTTGCTCAGGACGACAACGCTGCAAAGCTGAAGGAAAGAAGAGCAATAAAGGAGCTAGCGGAGGTATTGCCCAGGCTCGAATGCGTTCGGTGGATAGATGCGTGGAGTAAGGAATATTTTGATGAAGTGGGACAGAGAGAGTACGAGGTCAGTAGGAAAGACTATGGTGAAATATCTATTATCGAAAGGGGTACTATTGAAGAATCCTGGCCAGATGATAGGTACTGTTTCTTACGATTTCTGCACAAGATGTAGAATTTTCTTTGATGTATGAGCACATGACTGTGATTGTTCCAGCTTTTTTAGTCGACGATGTATATATTCACATCGAGAACAGTGCTCGTTCGTGACCAAATGGAATGCTCCACCTCACTTTCGTCTTTCCGTCTCTTGTGCTTCAGAAAATTAAAGTCAACTTCATTACCGGTGTTTATTTGATTGATGGATCTGTATAGATAAGTATAGATAAGAATTCTAAACATGCGATCTAGAGGAGCTCGCAGGCACTGGCTAAACCTTTAGAGCATGTATTTAGCCCGACGGAAGAAGTCGGCGGTTTCCTTGTTTGAGTTTGTTTGGCAAAGCCTTTGATAAGGTACGTAAGCTTCCTCACTTCTCCACACTTCTCATACTTCTTACCTTGACATGATTCTGTGTTACCCCGAAAATTGACTTCGGGATTTGTAAAATTATTCACTTCAGGAAGAGTATATATGGTTATAACTATTGGAAACGTGCGACAACTAAACATTTCAGTGTCCGTCGTCCGATAGTCCAAGACCTGCTTTCGCGGCACCCTCCGAGCTTCATATTTCATACCTAACGGGGACAATTCGGTGTCGTCACTATTCTTCCGAAGACCTGCAACTCTGGAAATGATCCGAGTTCTTGATTCAAAGTGAACTGCAATGCCCGAAAGGACCCAGAAGTTTACCCAGAAAGGAAATTATGCAGGGCTTCTTTGCATATGCGCGCTGCATACGTGAGAGATCGGGTGATCGACTCGACTCCCGAACTTCCGAAATAAACCGCCTTCATGATACTGCTCGTTCGAGATGGTTCGGATGGGGATTATCGCGGGAAGGTATAAAACGTACTGTGTATGGGGTGACGTTGGATATTAAAGCGATTGCCTTCAATATTTCCCGACGTCTTTAACGACTCGCCACCTGAAACTACACCAACTTTATCCTAATATCCTCATATAACATGTCCCTCCTACGAACTGCATCTGTCCTCCCACGCATGGCACCAACCATGACCATGCTCGGTCGAGGAGCAGGGATGATGGCCAGACGTGGCATGCATGTTGAGAACGTTGTGGGTCACGTACGTCTCCCCATTCCATCTACTCCTCCCCTTTCATAAATACTGATATGAAACATTATAGAATACCCCGTTCGTATATACCAACAAACGAGCCTTCACGATTGGGTATTTTGGCCTCATAGGCACACTATTCTCAGCGCCGTTCCTCGTCGTGAAGTACCAGTTGTAAGTACTCTATATGTTATACGTGTCTTCATCTCCTCTCTTACTAAACAGTACCCGTCTTCCTCGGTTTGTAGGTTTAAAAGCGGGCACTGAACTGAATTCACGCGCTCATCCCCCTCCGACTACGAACAATCATCATGAAACCAAAGTTGATCCCGACACACAGCCCCTCCCACTGTCGCGTGCAGAGTTTCTGATTACTGATTTCTATTAATTTATATTCTACTTGATTTTTCTCCCCTTTCCTTTCACCTGGACTTTTCGTACTATCCTTGTTTCTTTACCTGGAAACTCTTCCAATTCTGTTCCAATCTCCATACACGAACTCGTTGTTTGAATTTTGTTATGTGAGCTTAACACTAAGATTTATAATCTATATTTGTTGTCTTGTATACTCATATAAAGAAATGTAAGGAAGAATACTTTATCGGAGAGCTGCTTGTACAAGCGACAAGGGAAACGAAGAGTGTCTTGAAAGCCCTGATTCGGCATTGTGAGGTTGATTAACGGATCTATAAATTGTGACTTCCCGTTCTCAACAATCTCTCTCAGATTCTATATGTCGATACGTAGGTAGACGGTTGACTTAGTCCAATAAATTAAATTAATCAGATATTCAAGTAAGTAAATACAGTATATTTGGACTCACAATGAACATCTTTATTGCATCATCAAACCAAGCCTTGTAATCCCAGAGCGATAGGTGGCGTTTCTATGAGATTGAAACATACCTTTTCATTAGCTATCAGCCGGCCGCAAGAAGCGTTGATGTGCCACACAGCACCGCGTTGCCGCAGCTCGAAGCACATACACCTTCCTTATGGTAAAATAGTCGAAAGCCGCGAACTCTCCTCAATTCTTTATACGTAAATGGATGTAAGATCCAGTACCATGTCCACAGTCGAAATAAAAGAGAAAGAAAAAGAATAGTATAATAAAGAAGGAAAGAAAAAGTAGCGAGAGCTTTAGGGGATGGAAAGAGAGTGCTATTAACAACGAGAGGGATGTGCGAGGGAGAGAGAGAGGTAAACAGAGATAGAGATAAACTAGGACACGGTAATAGAGAGATAGACGGCTAGACGGATAGAGGTATGCATGCATGCAAGGGTTCCACTACATTGATATGATAGACTTCAACAACTCGGGTTAAAAAAATAACGAAAAAATGTAAAAAGAAACCTGATTTTCCATTTCGAAACAAAAGTAAAAAAACAAAAGCAAAGAGAAGCGAATTGTTTTGAAGTGAAGTGACTCGAAGTGTCATTGATTGATTGATTAATGATATTCATTCATTTCCGTCGTTGAGCCTGCCACATAGCAAGCGGGACGTCCTCATCATCACTTGTCCGTTGTCTTCTCTCAGGTGAAACTGCACTCGCACTTGCCATTTTCTTTCGTAAGCCTCCTGCTCCTGCTCCTGCTCCTGCTCCTGTCCCTCCTTCACTCAAACCAAAATTCGCCCCACCGTTATATGGTTGCGCGTGATGTGCGTGATGTGTGTAATGCCCATGATATTGTCCCTGACTTTGTACTGGAGGTGCAGAAGCAGCATTCGCTGATAGAGAACGCGTCGGCGTCTTCGCACCTGGTGGTAACTCCCCATTTCGACCCCAGTCGTAGCTTGAGTTTATAGCGTTACCTGGAGGAGAACGTGATGGACGGGGAGGTTGTTGTTGCGTTTGGAGGCTATACGACGAAAAGTCAGTACTTTGCGAGTATCCATGTACTGGTGACGTAGGTTGTTGATTCCGACCAGCCTGAGACGAAGATAGCCACGTCTGGTCGTTCGTCGAGAGCGGTGCCATAGCTCCAGGAGGTAAGCTACTATTCAAAGACGAACCGGATGGAGGAGAGTTCGTGAAATCGAGACTCGCCGAACGCCCATAGTAGTAATTCGGATTCCCGTTCGGCTGCGAGTACATCTGTTGTTGTTGTTGCTGCTGCGGTGAAGACGGCTGCTGTTGCTGCTTAGGAGATGCTTGCATGGACTGCACGCGAGGTGAGTAACTACCATTGTAGCCTTGTGATTGTGGTATGCTCGATGGAGGCGCTGAGGATGTCCGGGTAACAGGCGCTGGACCACCATATTCCTGTTCGATGACCTGACTTTGTAGATGATACTGTGGTCCCTTGACAGCCATCTCTGCTCGTCGTCCACCAGACGCTGGGCCTCCTCCTGGAGGAGGTTTCGTCAGACTTCCCCGTCTCGGTTCGCGCCGTTGCTCCGTCTTCTCCCTCGCATCAACACGTTCCCTCTCCACCCTCTCACGCTCCTCCCGTTCCCTCTGCTCCTCCAGATGTTCTTTCTCAGAACCAGTCTGCGGAGGCGCCTGAGCATTATCTTGTTGTCCTCCCCCGCCCTGACCTTGCGTATTCTGCGCCCCACCTCCTTGATTCTGCGCTTGCTGCTGCTGGTTCTGATTCTGTGCCCCAGGTCCCTGATTCGATTTGTTGATAACACCGAGGTACCAGAACATAAGATTACTAATTAGAACTTGTTCGTACAGAGGTCGTCGTGGATTTGCAAGTTTGATGTGACTAAGCCTGTATACTGCACGCTCGACGTGAATCGGGTACCGCGCATAAGGGTTCCCAAGTTGAGGCGATATTGATGGTGAATACGCCTTGTTATTCGACTTGGATGCGCCCAGAAGTGCTGCAGCTGTAGCCGGACCTGCACCACCTCCAAGAGAGCTCGGTGCACTCTCCTCCTGTTTTTTCTTGCTTCCTCCGAAGAGAGAACCGAAGAAACCACCCTCTTTCTCCTTGTCTTTATCTTTCTCCTTTTCTTTCAGGCTCTTCTTTGAGCTTTTATCACTACTCCCGCCGACTTTCCTCCATAGACTCTTCTTATCCTTTTCCTTCCGTTTGTCCGTAGTTGTAGAAGCCATACTGTGGTGTGAAGGTGCTTCAGAGGTGACAGAAGAACGAGATTCGGGACGTTGAATTTCGGCGGAAGGAGAAGTCGCTTCTGGAGAAGGCGTTCGCGATGGTGGTTGTTGGAGAACTTGCTGCTGCTGTTGTGGGGATAGTAGTCGCTGAGGTTGTGGTTGATAAAGGACAGGATCAGGAGATGGCTGTGGCTGGCCTGTTTGAGGTTGTATAGGAGGCTCTGATATAGAAGGTCGAGAAGGTGCCACGACAGGAGTCTCGACGACGACGGGGGCAGGGAGAGTAGCAAGGGCCTGAGCAATTTGTTGAGGAGATTCGTCTTCAGGTCCTTCTGCGTATGCATCAAAGATGGAGGCTTCGTCAGTATAAGTGAAGCGTCTGTTATCTTGTGGCTCTTCAGGCTCTAGCGTCTTCCTTCGTCTTGGCGGTGGAGGAATCACTGACGGTTCGATCTCGCCATGACCACTTGACGATCCATCCGTCGGACTTGTTATAACATCGACCGAGTTTGCACGACCAGCGGATTTACGCCGCGATGCAGGGAATCGATGGCCACCTCCGTCTCCCGATAGATTTGGTTTTCGAATCTTTGTCCGAGCTGTTCGTCGTAGAATCTGATTACGTGGAGGTACGATAATGGGAGCGTCAGCATCGTCTGTAGTATCAGGAACATCATCCATTTGGTCAAGAACTAAAATCATGCAAGCAGACCATAGCAATTTGCAATCAGCATTGTGGCTCACAACCGACAAAAATTGAAGACTACTTACAGGATGGCGCAACGTTTAAAGTCATACTCCTACGCAGTACTCTGCGCAGTTTAGTCGGATCTTCGCTTTTCGATGCCTCATCTGCGAGTTCCTCAAGTTTCTGCAAGTCGCTGATGGTAAGTTGTGGACCCTCCTGAGCGAATATACTTTTGTTCCGCCGCAGAGGCACGACATGTTCTTCTTCCACGCCATCATTATCGCGAGGCTTGTATTGTCTACTAAGCATAGATCGTTTTCTACCCAGATCGGACGAGGCCGAGCTCGATCGACCGAGCTGTACGGTGCCCAGACCATCAGCGGGAGGCGCGTGGGCATGCTCCTTGAGAAACGCGCGGAACTCGCTAGGTGCGAGCTCAGGATGGAGGTGCGCGGGTACCCAGAAGAGATGAAAGGGGTCGTCGACGGCGGAGCCACCGTCGTTGGTGCTCGCCCCATCCTGCTGTCCAAGCGCGGGCGCCTTTGCGTTGTCCTTTGCCGCCCAAGCCTGGGGTGACAACGGCGGCGCGGTTGTCGGTTGTTCAGCCGGCAAGTCTGGATCAAGAAGGAGTGAGCCAGGACCGCCATGGGAGGACGAACGTCGTCTGATGTCGCGCAACGCCTCGAATTCACGCTCGATCGCCTTTTGAGAGGGTTGCATGGCGGGGTTAATTGGTCTGTCGTGCGGGATGCGTGTGGGCGACGTCAGGCGAATTGGGGTGTCTCTAGGTGGATGACGTGTCGGTGCCCCGCGCCTGCGTGGTGGTTGTGGGGAGGCTGCGTGCCGTGTCGAGCGGTGGACGTCGTCGTTGGACGTTGACTGGCAGACGTGCGGAACGATGAGCAGCAGCTCTCGTGCTGGGGCTTGGCCCAGATGGTCCCGGCACGGTCAATGCCGCTGCTTCCCTATTACGGTAAGATGACAAATACCCCATCATCATCACTGCGTGCTAAGGCTCCGTCTCAGTCTGCTCTTCTTTCTGCAAAAATATCTCTCATGTTACTACACCTGACTGATAGCATTTCACGTATTTATTTATGCCCGAACGCTGATACTGTGATGATGAGTACATGTATTTTCCTATGTGTGTGATGGCCGAACGGCTGTGCATACAGCGCGACTGCCAATTTTGAGTTGCAGACCCATGCTGAGATGCGTCTGTTCCGCCACGACTGAATACTGTGCCTCAGGGGCCGTTTCAGCCACTATTCAGTTACACTGAGCAGAACAAGCATCTGACCCCTCACGATCAAGCTGACGGAAGAGGACGCGTACTATTACCAGAAGGGATGGGAACACTCGTCATCCTCTCCCGTGGCAATGGCCGGAAATCATCAGTCCCATCATTATTCTTGATCGAAAACGTGGTCTTGCGAAGACACTGGACAGACAACCCTTTCGGGTCCGCGGATTTGTGATGACGATGTCTGGCCTTTTTTTCGCGCTGAGAAAGAGTTTGTGCACAAAGTTAAATGGAGAGACTCCTCAAACGCCGATAATGCAGATTACTGTTCATTTTACTTGGTGCTAAAGCCCATCACAGCCTGTTAGTGGTGGAAGATTTGCCGAGCTTCGGAGTTTAACGATAGTTGTAGATCTGCAGGATCATCCGAGCCCCTGAATGTCATAGCCTCACAAGCTCACAGCAGAAAAGTGGGAAACGAACAAGTGAAGGAAGATGGGTGCATTCGCAAGAGGGAGAAACGCGTGTCGCGAACATTCCAAATAGCGTTCGAGCACTGCAGCATCAGACTGAGGATCTTTCCGATTCGGGGTGCAGAAGGATGGCAGAGACTAGTAATGCTAGCTTGCAATAGAGAAAGATAACGATTGCTCAAGCAACGACAGTCGTTTTGGTGTTGAAACACTCCGAGTCGTGGGAAACGCGATCGGGCACCACGCCCATGGCACTAGAGACATAGAGCGGGGAAATATCGTATAGGGTTGCGAGAAACAGGAGTGCAAAGATAGGACACATGAATGGGGGAGGCATTCTTGGACTCAGCGGATGCTTTGGAGGAAGAGTTTGAGGATGCACGCGTGTGAGGGAGCCGATGTACGTCTGGAACACAAGCGGGTTCCATTTGGAAACAACGGCTTTATCAATTCCACGTGACTTCCATTCACCACACAAGATGCAGGACACAGAGAAACTGACGAAAAAAAGACAGGCATGGTGTGGACATGCAGACCCAAATATGATTGATGTGAATGAATAGGGCCATGCTGTGAGAGGCGACGACGGCTCGAGTGCAGAGTCTAATTGAATCGATATATATATGAGCCGAGTCGCCGCAACCGCGTACAGTACAAGATTCACAATCAGGGTCCACTCGCTCTGGTGTTCTCCTTCCCACGAGGATTGGTCGCAGGTATAATATTTCTCGTAATTTTCGAATCGCTGTTGCCATCCGTGCCCAGAGCCCATTGGCAGCGCCGTACACCGCACGCATCGACGACGCCGACGACGCCAGCGCTGTTGACGCCGGCGGGAGGTAGAGTGAGCTCAGCTGGGAATGAACTCGCTCGGGCCAGTGCCTTACTCAAGCAACTCTCCATCAGCTTCTTCCTCGACTCGCTCTCCACGTCGTCCCGCTCGCTCACCCCAGCCACTCTTCCCTTCCACCGACACCCTCAAGCAGCCCGCTACCCCGACGTCATTCACTGAGCGCGCGACGGCGTTTTTCAAGCACCCCCTCCGCGCACGATCGTCCGCGACGTCCCTGCACTCATCAGTCTCCGCCACCCCATCAGCAGCACATTTCCCTGATCCTCCTGCGTCGAATCACCCTTTTGCTGCGATGGTTGCCGCCCCCGTCCCCGTCGTTACGAGCCATGACGGCGAGGACGAGAAGGAGTGCCCCGTGTGCCTCGAACCTCTCAGCTTCAGCTTCAGACTTCCGGGCGAAAAACCGCATATCGTGCCTGATTGCGGGCATGCCCTTCACGAGGTGAGCTCGTCTGCACCCCAGCGAAAAACTGGTATTATTTTTCGTTCTGTATTCTCACACGTTTATTCTGCCAAGGCATGCTTCACCGCTGTGTATGGCCCTGCTCCCACTCAAAGCAAATCAGCAGCACAGTTCCCACGCAAGTCAAATCTTGGGGTGTGTGGTGTCTGCAGAAGGCCGATGAAAGTGTCCGACAGTGACACCGGCAAAAGCAACAGTGTGTACAACTCATTAGTCGCTAAGAACCTTCCTAAAAATATGCATTTTCGCAGAACTCGCTGCTCTCACTGGCATGGGCGAGCGTAATACAACGTCTCTCTATCCGGGAAGGGAGACGCCAATTGGTTCGCGCAGCACTCAAACGCCGCACCCGCAACAGCCCAAGCCATTTGATCCAACTGAGGATGATCCTATTGAACACACGGGCTCTATCAAGTCAAACTCTGACCATTCATCGTACATTGTGTCCCCCAGCATTCAGGTCCGCCCCGAGTTTTCGACGATCCATCGTACAAATGAACCGAGCCAGCCGCTGACCTGCATCGTTGTTATCGAACTACCGAGTCGCCGTACGTCATCGCACGTCCCCGGTCCGGTCATCACGGATGTCTACCGAAGCCCTTCCTCACAAGGCCAGCATTCTGCCGGTGGTCTCGAGCGCCATGGCACGAATACTTCTAACCAATCTGGTGGACGTTATCCTCCTTACAATGATGCTGCCTCTGATAACATGGGCAGAAGGCAGGCGTCCCAGGGTTACTCGAATGCTCGTTCTCCATCGCCTGATCATCACAGTCAGCATCACACCAGGGGATCCGTGGCAGACTCAGAAATTGATGCGCCATATGATTCACAGAACGGGCTGACGAGGCCAAGCAACAATGACAATCCGTTCAAGAGTATTACTGAGGATTTGCGGGCACGCATCATTGACTGGAAGGGGCACCCGTTGTCCGGGTTGGGCCCGCTTCAGATGTTTGACTTACTCTGTGTCAGACGAGACGCTCTTGTCCGAGAATTCTTTGTCTATTTGTTCAAGGAGGCTATAATCTGTGTCGAAGAAGAGAAAAAGCGTACACTCGGACGGTTTTTGGGTGGGAACACTGGTAACTACGATGCATCTGGCAGCGGAGGCGGTGCACCTGGGAGGGGTGTCCTGAAGCTCAAAGGGCGTATCTATATTCGGCACATCAAACAAGTCACTGATACAAGTGTGGCGGGAGAGTTAAGCCTGACGATCGATATGGAGGATGAGCGTCTGGAGTCATTCATCCTCATCTTCAAGGACCGTTCGAGTTTGGAGGCATGGAAAGCCAACATCTCGAGTCTCGTCGCGATGCACCAGCAAGCGGCCCAATCAGCTCAGATGGGTGGCAGGTCTGCCCCGACTCCGGACGTCGAGGAGTTCGGTAACGGCCAGAGTAAAGCTATGCGCATGTTAAGCGGTAGTACCGCGACGACATCGAGTTCTATGGACCGAGATAGTTTACTGAATGGCAACGGATCAATTCGCTCGTCGTCTACATCTCACGGGTCATTGATGGGGCAATCCGTGGGACATGGACGTATGCCGTTACACCAGCAGCACAAGTTGTCCCCGTTAGGCGAGGATGATGAGCTCTACTCGGCTACTTCGCCATATGGCTCTTCACCTACGGGATTTGTAACTCCACATTTGTCTAGTGGACCTTCAAACTCGCTTACACCAATCCAGCACCCGTCGCTAGACCTTATTCTTGTGGTCTCTCTACCACCACCAACGGCAACTCCGTCTACGGCGGCGCTTAAGAATCGCGTAATCAAGAATACGCTGGATTTCATTCTGCATTCTCTGGGACCAAAGGATCGTTTGAGCTTCGTAACCTTTGAAGTAGGACCGGGCGGGCGTGTAAGGAAGACGCCATTCTTATGCGTCGGGCGAGGTCAGAGCCGTCAACGCCTGCAGGCATTCGTGAACAATGTCGGCAACGGACATGACGACACAACTGATGAGTTCCTCGTACGCGGCTCAAAGGAAGAAAAGACAGATGTTGTAACCGCCGTGAACCATGGACTGGATGTTGTGTTGCAACGGAAATCGCGTAACCCCACTGCTGGGATGTTGCTTGTAAGCGACGCCGCGGACAGTACGCGCCGTGCGCAGATGGATTTGGTCTTGGCTCGTGCGGAGGCTGGGAATGTGCCTATCCATTCGTTCGGTTATGGACGGTCGCATGATCCCGCTTCGCTCTGGTTGATGTCAAACCATACTGGAGGAACATACACGTTTGTGAAAGATTGGTGAGTATTTTTGAAATTCTTTTCATTGATTGAAAGCGCTAAATAACTATGATAGGTACGACCTCCGAGACTGCATCGCAGGTTGCGTGGGTGGTTTGATGTCAATTGGCATCCTCAACATGAAGCTTCACCTCAAAATCGTTGATGGTCACCGGTTCCGGATTCGTAAGGTTTCTGGAGGTCCGAGTGCCATTGTTGCTTCCGACGGACGAGATGTTGATATTGAAGTGGGTGAAGTGCGGTACGGAGAGAAGAAAGAGATGCTCATCGAGCTCGAGCTGGACAATGGCGAAACACAAAACCGTGCGAATGGACATGCAGGGAACCGCACTTTGAATGCTACAGACCAGTTCGTCCAGCGTATGGGTCTTGACTCCTTGTCATTAGAAGACTCTGCCGACTTCGTTGACGGCATGATGGACCGTATGATTGACGAGGTGCCTGTATTTGAAGTCGATGGCTCGTTCTTCGACCCTTCAGCCATTAAACATGTCTCGCGACTTGCGCATCCTGTGCTACTTACCATCACGCTTATGCCGCCATCGAGCAACCGCCCGCGTAGCCCTGCTCAAGGCGCATCCGACCCAGTTATTCTGCGCCGTCGCATGGAGCTTCTTGCTTCTGACATGATCACTCGTGCACTTGTGCTTGTCTCTCGCAAGAACTATCCACAGGCTGCGAAGATCCTCGGCGAGACCCGAAGGATTCTGCACACTGTGCTACAAAGCATTTCGCAGAGCTTACCACCACCGACACAAAGTGGACCTACAATGCGTAACAGGAAAGAGATCCTTACGCTTTCAGCAGTTCGTGCCTTACAGGCTGTGCTTGCCGACTTGCAAGTGCTTGCGGAAGCTTTGGAAGAGAATGTGGATGTGTTTGCACACGATCAACGAAACTTCGGTGCTCAGCAGGTTCGTTTCCATTCTACATCAACTTCTCTTTGATACCTTCTGATAACATTTGAATTTCTTTCGAATCATTTTAGGCCATGATATTGCGTGATCAGAAGAGCTGGAGCGGACGTACACCTACGGAGAAGCTCTTCTGGACATCTGACAATTCGATCGAGCTGATGTCTCGAAGCACAGACTGGGTCGCAAGGGAATGATTGAGCCTTGTGATGCCATTTCCTTACCTTGGCGCCAATTTGATCGTACAGCTTACGGGCTCGCTTTATGATGAATGATCTGCAAAGATGTCTGGGCCCTTCCAATACCTTTTGGGTTTGCCTTTTTAATTTCGACGAACGTTTTCTGCTTTCTTTATTGCCTTCCGCTTCTCTGTTAGTTATCTTTTACGGCTTTCATACTTCGTTAGCGCAGTTCCTCCATTTTGTATTTCGCCGTATATTTGTAATTTAGGTATTCTGTGTTCCACCTTTTCCTTGCCTTCTTTCCTAACGCCTCTCAGCTGTTTACGCACCTTCTCTCTGGTCTATGGCGCTGTTTGGCGAGCTACGGGCGTACGCGTGGGTATATATACATTTATATACGGTTCACACCTTCTTTTCATCGCCGCCAACCCTGCCTTTCATTTATTTGCTAGCTTCTGGCGCAGGCCGTTAACACTTTACCCCACTCTCCTTCATTAAATATGTTTTGCCACTCCCTTCATTGTTTTCCCTTACGATGACTTCCGGCTATCTGGCGAGAAGGTGTAAAGTATGGTACTTTCTTTTCTTTCTCTTACTCTCCTCTTGATATCGTGTTTCCCCGTGTTCCCTTCCTCATTTTCTCATTTTTCTTCTCTTTTCTCATTTCTTTTTATTTCCCGTTTTTTATGAGCGCCTGACCGAGCGCGTTAGTAGCTTAGCTAGATATACCGGCGTGAATGAGCCTGGATGTTTTTAATTTGTGTTACCTTTTTTTTACTAGTTTTCTCTGCTGTGTGCTTGTCGAATTATTGAATTTGAAAACTTTGAACAATGTTTGAAGTTGAATTCAAGACGTGTAAGAAAAGTCCCGAAAAAGGCTCTAAGCGATCGACGTTCATAAACTTAGCCTTAAGAAGTATAAAGTGATCGACGTGCTGAGGCTGATCCTCATGTGAATCCTGACGGATTTCTTCACAACTTTCTTGAGCTGTTGACATCTGGGCTTTTGCTTTTTGCTCGACTTGGTCCTTTTGGCTCTTGTTCTGATACGCCGACAATAAACATAGATGTAACACTTGCTCATGCACAGAAATAAGCTAATAGCTAAACGAGACTTGGATACTATTACTGAAGGATGGATAGGCGAGTACGAGATGAATGAACGCAACTGAAACAAACGAAGTTAGAAAACGGTGGCGTTTTGGCTGAAGGGATAGTGAGGAGGAATAAACTGTTGCTAATAAGAAAAGAGAAAGGGGGTTGAGACAAGATGTCAACACGAAGGCTACCAAAGCAACTGTGTATGATCCTAGTTAAGGTGAGCTGTCCAGTGTTCACTACTTTTTTTACAACCTCACTGCCTTCTCTCGTTATTGCCTTCGTTTTAACTTTCTCTGTTTACCTGTATAAATTGTGTTGTTGTGTGGATGTGTGAAGATAGACTTCCGATGCTGCAGGCAATGTTCTTTCTATAGAGATTATTACATGTGAAACTGGTGTTCCGGACTTTGTGAAGAGGGTTAACAAGAAGCTGTCGCTGGAGATTCGATTGCGGTCTTTCGTAAGTCTTCGTTTTCTTTCCTACCACTGTGTTGTTTTGGAACTGAACTTAGTTTTTGGAAGGCAACGAATGCAGAGACTCAATATTCGAATGTACGTCTCAAACATTCAATCTTAACGTTTCTTTCTACAAACCAACCAATAGTTCTTTTGTTTTAAAATACAGCTTCTGTGACTCTTGATCGACAGCAAGTTGTATTTTATGAATGGTCGCTTAATCAGTGCTATTTATAATTTAAGGATTGCTTACACACAATAGCCCATCTCAATTCTGTTGCGAGTTGCAAGTTGCGAGGAAGCTCGGCTTTGTAGAGGACCCTGGTAAGGTTGATGCCGAGTTTCCTCACAACTAGGAAGAATTGAGATGATTGAGTTGTGAATTTTGTGTCGATCAGATTTCTTGTGATTTGAGTGGACAAACAAGTAAGGGATACAAGAAACATCATTTAATTTCAAAGTCCGACAACTCACAAGCACTCCAGAGTGCTTGCGAGTTGTTGCGCGTTTGACTACTACTTTAGGCAAGCACGCAACCCGATCCCCATCTTAACCACCCGATTTTCATCTCGGCACTTCGGCATTTTTGGCATATTTCTTACATGCCGTGCACAACTCACAACTCGCAAGAGAATTGAGATGGGCTAATGATTGAGTCAAGCGACTCTTCATCACCCGCATCAGTTTCTTCATCGCCTCGACTTCCGCTTTGTTCCGCTCATCCACCTCAGCAACTTCTCATTTCACTGACGCCTTCAAACCGCCCGCAATCCTAACTTCACTGAGCGTGCAATCGTGTTTTTTAAGCACTCCCTGCGCGCACGATCGTCAGTAACTTCCCCGTATCCATCACTCTCCGCCACCGCATCGGCAGTAAACTTCTCTCGTCTTCTCACGTCAAATCACATTTTTCTTTCGCGATGGTCGCGACGTCTGGGGCAGTTGTTCTAAGCCAAGACAACGAGGAAGAGACAGAGCGTCCCACGAGTCTCCAACCACTCGGATCCGGCTTCGGACTTCCAGACGAGAAACCGCATATTGTGCCTGATTCGGGGCATGCCTTACACAAGGTAAGCTCGTCTGCACTCAACGGGAAATTGTGTTTGTTTTCACCGTTGTGTTTTGACAATCTGTTTAAGAGTATCATTGAAGACTTACAAGCACGTGTCATCGACTGGAAGGGACACTCATTGTCCAGTTTGGGCCCACTTCAGATGTTCGATGTACTCCTTGTCAGACGAGATGCACTCGTCCGAGAGTTCTGTTTTTATCTTCTCGAGGAGGCTATAATCTGTGTTGGAGAAGAGAAGAAATGTCCACCCGGATCTATTGTATCTGAGAAACTTGGGAAATGCGATACGTTTGACGTCCGAGGCAACACACTTGGGAAGAGTGCACTCGAACTCAAAGGACGTATCTTTATTTGGCACATTAAACAAGTCACTGATACGAGCGCACCGGGCGAATTGAGACTAAGAATCGATTTGAAGGACTCGCGCCTGGAGTCATTCGTCCTTATCTTCAAGGACCGTTCGAACTTGGAGGTATGGAAGGCAGATATTGAGCGTCTCATCGAGTTGCACAGCAGGCGACGCAATTCGTTCGGATTCCTTCCTGGTTTTTCCCTTTTCACTCGTTTCTTACCTCCCTCTTTACATGCGTCTGACCGAGCGCGTTACTAGCCTAGCCGTCATAGTACATACTCGCGTGAACGAGACTGAATATTTTAAATTTGTATCTCATTTTCTCCGCGTATCTGTCTGTTATTTATTTTAAATTAATGAGAAATTTTGGCTCTTGACTTCACTCTCTGAAATTAAGCAGGTTTAAAATTATGAGGCACATTGACTTTAAGTGTGTTTGACTTACACCACGCCGAAAAAGGAACTTGATGATCGACGCGTTTTAGTTGAACTTTAATTTGCATGAATTCAAAACTTTGAGGTGTCTATGCCAGCGATTTCCAAACTTTTGCTTTCTGATCGTCTTGGACGTTTTCGTTCTTATCCTTGATATTCGACGATTAGGATGGATGCTTCTACGCCCGCACATGCACAGAGTCTAGCGAAACGAGACTTGGATACTGAGGGAGAGTCACTGCAAGATGTAGACACAAAACGCACGAAGTTGGGTCACGGACATGACGTTTCGGATGAACAGTCGGCGCAAGAGATGTCAGGGGAATTGAAAGTGGAGGCATCTTCTATGTCGGATCAGCAGGGACATGTTCATAAGGAAGAAAGGAAGAAAAAAGGAGAGAAGAGGGATTGGTCGAGTCGGAGGAGAGGGACACGACAAGAACGTGAACAACCTATAAACGACGAGGAAGTAGATGGAGATGATAAAGATAGGACTTCGACACCGAGATTACCGAAACGGCTATGTGCATTGCTCATTGGGTTTTGTGGATCTGGGTATAAGGGTATGCAGATGTACGTCTCTGTTTTTACTTGTCTTCGTAATAAAATTACAGTCTGGTTGTTGATTGGCCAATATTCGTTTGTTTGGGATTAACATTTTATAGCCAACCTAGTGAGAAGACGATTGAAGGTGTGCTTTTCAAGGCACTTGTGAATGCTGGTGCGGTGTCGAAGGATAATGCGGACGATCCTGTCAAGGTGTGCTTACTACTGAACAATTCTTCTTTCATTCTTACACTGTATTTTCGCATCACTCCGGATATATGTACTGATGTGCGAAGGTAGGCCTGCAACGCGCCGCACGCACAGATGCAGGTGTGCATGCTGCAGGGAACGTTGTCTCTATGAAGATTATTACGCACGTACCTGGAATTCCTGACCTTGTGCAGAGGATCAACGAGGAGCTACCGCCTGAGATTCGATTATGGTCTTTTGTAAGTATTATTCTCCCTTTATTTCACTACGATCTTTCGAACTGAAATCAGTTCCGGAAAGCAACGAGTGCAGAATTCGTTCAACGCGCGAATGTATGTTTTCGATACGTATTCGTTGCGATCCTTTATCAATTGATTGGTGTTCGGTTTAAACAAATTGCAGTTCCTGCGATAGTCGTAGATACACCTACTTCTTCCCTTCCTACCTCCTCATCCCTCCCAAGCCTACGAGCGCATTCTACCAATCTTTCATTCGCCAATCTTCCTCCACCTCGTCCCCTTCTGCCTCTAGCTCTACCATCCAAGTCGATCCATTCTGGGAAAACGCCCCACCCGAAGTGACACGAGAAGAAGAAATGGTACGCAAAAAGTCGTGGAGAGTGGGCAAGGAGAAGATCGAAGCGTTGAGGGAAGCTGCGAAGCACTTTGAAGGGACGCATAATTTTCATAACTTTACCGTAGGGAGGGATACGAAGGATAGGAGTTGTTTTAGGCATATGAAGAAGATCGAGGTAATTTTTCTGTAATCATCAACTGGCCGTTCAGCTGACAGATCGAATATACGCCTGTGTTGCATTGCAGGTTGCAGACCCTGTCGTTTATGGCGAGACTGAGTGGATTAGTGTTATGCTTCACGGACAAAGCTTCATGCTACATCAGGTAGGCGGACGTCTTTGTAATGTGACTTGTCCGACTAGTTTCTCATTAGCTTTCGTCTTAGATCGTAAGTCTTTCAAGTTGAATTTCGAAGGGACTCCAAAGTGACCAAGTCCAGCGAAAAATGATGTGTGTCCTCGTCATGTCAGTCCGAACAGGGACACCCAGTAATATTATCAATGCTGTAAGTCTCTTCCAACACTTCTTCATCTACGTGCCCCTCAGAAAATCCGTTATCTACGGCCATAACTTAAAGCTTTTCGGTCCACTAAACGTCGTCATCCCCAAAATGCCCTCCCTCGGACTCTTGCTCGAAAATCCAATCTTCGAGTCGTACAGCAAACGCGTAGAAACCGTAAACTCACAGAAAAAGTTTGACGTGGAACACACAGACTACCGCGCTCCGATTGATTTCGATAAACACGCGGAGGAGATGCAGAAGTTCAAGGAAGAGCATATATACTCTCGGATGCGAGAGAATGAGGAGAAATTGCAGGTGTGAGTTGCTGACTTTATATATCCAATATATCTCGATTATTGTGGATGGCCTCACACGGAAACGGTTGATTTACTTACATTGCATAGGTTTGACCGATGGCAAAGCATCTTCGATCATTACAACGGAAACGACCTCCTTTATTATAATACACAAGGGATCATTCCCAGCGCAGCCGTCGTCAAAAAGGGCGAGAGTCGTCCAAATCCGTTCAGAGAGCGGAAACGTTTTGACGCAACAGATTTTGCACCTGATGCACCTGCGACTGTGCTTGCTGAAGAGGACGCTGAGGAAGAAGAAGCGGAGAGAGAAGAGAAGATGAATAAGAAGGAGTTGGAAGAAGCAGAAGGATAACTATTTTGACTGAATTTCAGTTGCGGCTCGAAGTATTTACGGTATTTAAGTATGATACTGTGATGGAAATCCTTGATCAGGAGTTGCTTACAGTGTCCATCAGGAGAGCAGTTGTTCAGCAATATAGCATCTCAAGTACTATACCGCTACTGTGTAAAGTAAGTTAGTTTATATGCATAAAAAATATCAATATTGCACTCAGTTCCAGCTAAAATTTGTATACTACTATCAGCTAGTTTATTGCTTGTAACTAATTGATACATACCTATTACTGTTCCCCCTGTTGTCTATACACTGTTTATACTGTCTTGCCAATATGCATGCAAAGAGGTTCTTACCTCTCTGTAATCACTATAATGACTGTCACTGTGTTATTGTTCATACAAAAGCTAATTTTGTTGTTTATGTGATTAGTTGTTGAATTGTGTCTGAAATAAAGAGAATGATCAGATTTTCACAACAAGAAAGACCATATATATACAATAAGCTGCACAGCATTACAGTTACACATCAACACCCTTCATCAATGCCACGCCTGTGCACCTTACATTACCCTGGCTATCTCCTTCTCTCTAGTCTCTTGCTACACACTGTTTTACTCTGTCCTGAAGGTCATATTACTGAGCTTTGGCCATGGAGAGAAAATTCTCCAACAAGCATCAGTCAGTAGAGCCTGTACTACATTCTCAGCCAGTATTTGACTCTCATGACTATGCCGAGTTGCACACCTCGGAAGGGCAAATAGAGGATTCCAAGTCTAATATCTTGATCAACCTATTGAAGAGGCTCTCCAACCTGGACCTCTCAGGCGAAGTTCACAGTGTCAGTGCCTTTCAAAAGGATCATGGAGGATATAGTGATATTTTCACTAGGATATTAACAAGTAGATGCAGGGAAGATGTGAAGGTTGCAGTTAAGAAGCTACGTCTGCACATCATGAAGGACAGGCAGTTCCGGAAGGTGAGCAAGCCTATCAACCTGAATGAATACAAAAAACTCGCTGACTGTTCCTGAAATGCTCAATTACAGTGTAATCTTTTAGAGGCTTGCAATGGAGCTATACATATGGTCAAAGCTCGATCATCGTCTTATTTTACCTTTTGAAGGATACTACATTGAGAACAATAGTTATCCTCACTTAGTTTCAAGGTGGATGGAGAATGGGCCTGTGCTTGAATATTTGACCAGAAATCCTGATACAGATCTGGTGTCTCTAGTGAGTTATCAACTGCATTGTTGCTGATATATGATCTCGTAATATTCTTAATTAGGTCGCAAAAATCGCACATGCCATTCATTTCCTTCACTCGGAAGATATAGTCCACTCTGATATAAAACCGGTGAGAGCTAACAATATTGGACTTTCATATCGATTCTGATTTCCAAGAAATAGGCCAATATCTTGATATCTGACACAGGGGACCCGCTTCTTTGTGACTTTGGCGTATCTCGCATGCTTACTGCATCACAATCGTTGCAGTTCAGTAGCTCCTCATCAAGCGAGATTAGAGGAACTATTGCATATATGTCAAAGGAGATACTTGCTAGTCAAGATCAGGATGCAATTAAATACTCCAGAGAGTCTGACGTATGGGCATTCGGAATGACTGTATATGTAAGCAGTTGGATTCCTACTTGCTGTAGTGTTGACAGCTACTTATTGAATAATAAAAGGCTCTTTTAACAAAAAAGCAGCCATATTATGAAAAAGCAGCTATTCCTATAGTGTTACTTGCCATAATTCAAGGTTCACTGCCTACTCCTCCAGCCAACACAGGCCAAGGACCAACTTTGGAGTATTATACGTGGAAATTGTGCAAACGTTGTTGGGAACCACCAAAGGATCGGATATCTGCAGAATTGTGTATCGGGTATTTGAAAAGTATGGAGAGGAATAGGGAAAAAGGTACTTCAAACCTAATAAATCCACTCAAAGAACGTCAAGGGTTCATGTACAAAGGCCTATACAATCCGAAAGTCTTTGTCTAGGGGTAGGAACTGGAAAAGTATCACAAATATACTTACAGTAATGTGGCACTAATCTCAGGCATAGGCATAATTTTTCTGGAAGGTTAGGTGATATTGGTAATAGTTTGGCAGATAGGAGTGGTATACCATATCCTATACAAATTAAATTTCCGGGCCATTCAAACATAGTTGAACTCGATTCAGGAGGATGGTATGACAATGTGCTTTTACTATTTGGCCTGTCCTGATAGTACATATTTAGGTCATATCACGCTCTTGACTCTCAGGGCCATGTCTACGTCTGGGGTATGTCTACATTGTAGAAATTCGATGAAAAGCATAACTCATTCGTTTGTCGTTCTAAGGCACTTTGGATGGCCTTGAGCAGCCGGGATACGGATTTTCTGGAGCAGGGAATGCTACAGATATACCGTTGCGCCTTGTACCTCCTGAACCAATTCAGGCATTGAGGTTAGTACTTTTTTAGTTGCTACATTTCTGCTCCGCCTCTAATACGATCAAAGCTGCGGAGCGACGCATATGACAGCATTGAGTGTATCGAACCAGGTTTGGACCTTCCTATCGTGGGGAAGACCTTTCCGAATCATCACACCTGTACTAAACAGAACCTCCCCGGAGTCAACACCAATACAGATCTCTTGTGGAAGTGAGAGCTGCTTTGTCTTGACTGCCTCTGGAGATATCTACAACTGGTGGCCATTTGCTGGAGTCATTCGACAGCAATTTCGAGAAACTATGGCACTGATGGATGCAGAGGGGAATCAGCTTGCGCAAGCAACAGCAGAAGGAACAATCCCGTGCATGGCATGGGGCTTGGAGTATGATCCACAAAAACTTCCGACTATCCCTCATCTTCCTGAATTAGTGCATTCTGGGAAAGCATTGGGGAACGAAGAAGACACAAAGGTTGTTAAACTTGCAGCAATGGACAGTGTCCTGATAGCACTGACAAATAAAGGACATGTCCTGAGACTTTCTGGGCTGAACCCTATGACAAACGTTGAAGAGATGCATTGGGAATATGTGAGTAAGCTACTTGTCCTTGCGTTTAACACTGATTGGTATCCATGCTCGCTATCCGCAGCTTCCAAATTTCAGCGAGACAGAGAGGATCCGTGTTCATCATGATCGAATGTTCGCAGGCGGTAGACGCACGAGAGGTGGAAGTATTGCTACGCTTGCGCCACCGAAGGATGTACGAATCACCCACGTATGCTCTTGCCTTGACTCCTACCCTACTTTCCTTAAAAATTAATATGCCTTCTCTATCGGAATGTTATTCGCTCGTCCACAGATTGCAGCGGACCGCAACGGCCGCTTCGTTGCGTACACAAATGACGATCCGAACGACAGCTACTCCATTGTCCTTATAGGATATGATCAGACAACACCAGTTATGGAGATGGAGGCAGAAGTAATCCCAGAACTGCAGTACAAAGCTATTATTTCTGTCACTATGTCCAACCACCACAATCTGGTGCTCTCTGCAAATGGGAAGTTATACTCGTGGGGTCACGACATGGAGGGCTGCCTCGGCCTCAGCCTACCAACGGAGTTGCCTGTCGGAGCTCCTAGAGGATATGAAACACAACAGCAATTGAGGCATGCAAAAAAAGGACAACATGTTCCAGTTCCAGATGTTCCAGTACCAACAGAGGTGCACTTTGACCATGGCTTGGATACAAGAAACTGGTTTTGCATTGCTGTAACTGCAGCTGGATGGCATTCAGGTGCACTAGTTGTTGATCTTGATCTGGAGGTCAGTTTCACTAACGTGTGCTGATTCATCTTGTACAAATATGCTTACTCTTATCAGTAGGAAACAGTAGAAACTGAAGATGCACCTAAATTATTAAGCCAAGGTGACTAGCTAAGTGGGTTGACCCAGAGACAGAAGGTACTGGCTCCTGAGTAGTCAGATTCAGCTCTGGTACTAGTACAAAACAATAGCAAAAGGACGAGAATAGAGAATGGGCTGTGTTCACTGTTTAAGTAACAAAACCCGTTTTGCTTTGAATCGAGGATGCTACCAAGATGTGTTTGTGTGTCTTCAGTAATGGAATCCACTATTAAATGTTAGATAACTCAGTAAGAGATGAGCAAAGCTTGCTGATGTGGGCAAAAGAAAGAAAACTACTTACGAAATCTCTCCTCTACGCGGTCACGCCGAAAGTTCACTTTCCCCAAGAACGACAATGACAAACACTACCACACAACCTCCTCAGGACACTCAAAATCCTCAAAAGTTACCTCCGGGTGTTGTTATCGGCCCAGATGGCAAACCCTGCAAGATCTGTACTGCGTTCCGCTACTGGAAGCCGACGAAAACAAAAACGGCTTCCCCGTCCTCGAACGAATCGACCAAAGCATCCTTCTCGCCCTTTGCAGGTGTAGCAGGTACAATGGGTGCACTCGCTTATGGTCCAAACATCACGACAAATACCAATACGCCTCGACCGAACGAACCACCTGAAGGCTGTCCTCCGGATGTCGAACAACTCGGCCGCGCGACATGGACCTTCCTACACACAACAGCAGCCTACTACCCCACCTCACCCACACCAACTCAACGCACTCGCATGCTCTCCCTCCTCCTCTCTTTACCCGTTCTCTACCCCTGCACGCACTGCGCCTCGCACCTCGGAGAGGAGATTAAACGGAGTCCACCTGACGTATCTGGGAGAGAAGGCCTAAGTCGCTGGTTATGTGAACAGCATAATCGGGTGAACGAACGACTTGGGAAGCCATCATTTGACTGTGCGATTGAAAAGCTTGATGAGAGGTGGAAGGATGGACCGAGCGATGGGAGGTGTGATTAGATGGTTTTGGTTTTGAATATCGTTCGTAAGTTTGTGTGCTTGCCCATTTTTTTAAAATGCGGGGAATGGTTAATTTGTGTTCGACCCACCACAGGCTCGCATTGTGGTTCGACTAGATTTTTTTACACGTCGTTTAATCGTTAATCCCTGCTCAATTTTTGCTCTGAAATTTGCTCTGGAATATGCCAGTATCAATCTTAGCTCAAGCGTGTAAGTAACGATTTCTGTGATTCTTGGACCATTGTTGCTCATTATACCTTAGATACTCTAGCATCAAACTGCTATGCTGTAGTCTTTGCGCAATGGACTCTGTCGGATCGAACAATCCCCACTCAACAATGTTAAACACACAATCACGTAGAAACAAGCTACCTCTCACTATCCTTCACAAATCAAGTAAACAAATAATCAAGAACTGTCCTTGCATCGTATAAAGACGAATAAACTACTACTGTAATAAACAGAGCATAATAAAATCGTCTCGTCTCGTCTCGTCTCCTCTTCTAACACCATAAGTACTAGGAAAAGGATTAGATATATGCAACACCCTGCACCTAGATCTTCATCACTTCATCTCGTTCCATCAAAAACATTAATTACCTCAAGATTCAATCCAATCCAATCCAAGCTAAGCTAAGCACTCGAAGAAGTCGTCGAGCTCTCAGCAAAAGTCGTCACAGAACCCGTAATCGATTCCGTAGTCGTCGGCGTCGGAGTAAAACTCTCCGAAACACTCGTCGTTGTCTCCGTTCCCGTTGGCGTTATATAAGTCGTACTCCCCGACTCTTCTCCCGTCGTTCGTGCAGCTGCTACGGAAGACAAGAAACTATCCCACGCAGCCCTCGTCTCTTCAGGTGCAACATACAAACTCGTTGCGTCTCCACTTCCAAATAGTATGCTGATTTGTCCGGGGATGGCTCCTGTGTCGCCGACGAGTATAGAGGTATCCTCACCGCCGACTACGCTTCCATCTTCTTGTACGGTGCCGGTCTTGTTCGAGCCGAGGATGAATTCGTTGAACAGGACGAGGGCCTACACAAAGAAGTGATTTATTTACATCAGATTTTATATTTTATTTCCTTTCATTTGGTTGAGAGAAAGACGAAGAGGAAAGGACGTACAGCCTTGGGGTTGAACTCTGGTACCTCGTGTCCCGAGTGTTCGACAATGACGTACGTCAACCCGCGTTCTTGGTGTACGAGTCCCAAGACATTCCCATCTGCGTCTGTGAATGGCGTTTGCGGCCGCTTCGTGAAGCCTTGGATACCGCCGAACGTTGTGTTCTGTAATTATTCAAATTAACGAAATTAATATTGATCAATACTCATGTGCATCCCGCAGTGGGTTGTGATTGTAGGATGTTGATGTCGTACCTGAATTACAACTGAACGAGGCAAGAAGAGAGGATGTTTTAGCACCGAGTACAGCTTAAGCATGATTGTGATGAAGGAAATGCTCACTTTCGTTGGTAAAGTGATGAACGACCGAGTCATCGTTCCCGTTGTAGATCACAACGGGGACGTTGGCAGCGGAAGCGTTCGCTAACAATTCACCGAAGAATGCTGACGGTCTATAGAAAGGCGAATAAAATTAGATAAGTCAACGGCTTTCAGGTGGTCTAATGCAACATACGGAACACCTATTAAATTGTTAGATTTCGAGACAAAACTATCAAATTGATAGTAATTTACTTACTTGGATCACCGAATGGGCTGATAATATCAGGTGCTACATTAGCCAAACGGAATATTTATCAGCTCTTCTGTTTATATCAAGCGTTCGAGTCAAGAAAAGAATAACGAACGGAAGTCCAAAGTATTATTAAACGGATAATTCGTAATCAACGACCAGTTCTTGCTTGTCGGTGCGTGGATCGCTGCGCGTGTCACATCGTCTTCATTATCATTCATCAAAAACAATGTAAGTATTGTCGCTCGTTTCGATGATTGCAGAAGTATGGGAGGGTGAAGATGCATTATTACTGACCATTGAGGAAAGTCGTCGGGTCGATGTTCGGTTCTGGTTTCCTTGCGTCCGGGAGATTGTATGGCTATCAAGACATTAGTCGGGAGGTACAATCGAAGAGGAGCTTAAGTCTTAAACTTACGTTGAACGGCGAGAAAGCGTTCGTCACAGGGTCCACAACTTCAGGCGCCGCATTACCTAGTATCCCACATATTAGCAAATCATAGTCCAAGAAAAGTGACAAGCAAAGGAGAAAAAGAAAGGACATACTCCACGGCAACGAGAAATTCAACGCATAATCCTGTACCTCCTGCGAAACGAAGCAAGCATACCACGGATCGATAGTCCCATTCGCACGTCCACTCAAATCCCTCTTCGTCTTCGTCATCATCATCCTCTCCTTCTGCCAATCTCGACTCCTCTTCTTCTCTTCAAGTACCGTCTTCCACGCAGCCCTCTTCTCCTCTCGCTCGCGCAAAACACGTGTGCTGAGTTTTCCTGTGTACCCTGGAGAACGAGGTTCGAGCAATGCCTCGTCTGATGCGAGTTTAGATAACATCGAATGTGCGAGAATGGAGGATTGGTGAAGCCTGTTTGGCAAGGGTATGGGTGAAATGGACGAGTTGGAGGATGTGTCGTTGAAATCGAGCGGGAAACCGGTTGTGAAGTTGAGGTTGATTGAGGGGAAATGTCCGCCTGTTTGAGGGTATGTGAGGTTTAGGTCGAATCCGCAGAGGTGGGATCTATGAAGAGTAGTCGTTTAATAGAACAGAGCACCTCGAAAGAATGAAGAACTCATCTACTTACTGTTCTACAAAGTAGTCATATACCTCTGGGTCATAGCCAATCAACTGAGGGTAGGTCTCAATAATCGCCACCTAAATAAAAGCCAGAACGACCTCAGTAATCCAATCAACTGTAAAAGTATCCATAGGGATCTACGTACAGCAGTAACCTGCTGCGTCTCAGTGATACTCCCAATAGCCCCATTCCCAATCGCAGCCTTCACGAGGTTGACAGGTGGGTTCTCTGTGGAGAAAATAGCCTTCATGATGTACGGCTAAAAATGGAGTAATACAAACATTGGGATCAGCGAATTCAAATTAGATGAAGTAGTGAAGCTTACGATGTAAGTTCCGGCATAACTTTCACCAGTCAAGAGAAGAGGCCGAGTAGCAAGGCTCGGGAAAACCTTGACAAGGTTCGAAAGGAAGCCAAGCTATTTTAAACGAGTATCATCAATAAACAACAATCAAGATGAAAGTTTGCGAGTAGGAAGAGACTCCACATACGAAATCTTCACCCATCTGGTCTTCATCAACGACTACAAAAATAAATCCGAACCCAAACCCAAAATTAGTCAATCAAACTAGTCCTTCCGAAGACAAACAAAGGCAAGTCAAATACAAATACGGCTGAAACTTACTGTAACCCGTGCTATCCGCTGTAGCAAATCCGGTTCCACTATCAAACAAAACATAAGATAAAATATTCAGTACCCATTTAGCTTAACATCGGTGTAGAGCGGGGAAATGACATACACAGGCTGGTCGACCCAGATGTAATCGACGATCTTTTCCCAACTGAACTCGTTCGACGTAAACCCACCGGATTCTGTAATAAGTAACGGCCCATTCTCCTCCAGGAGACCAAGCAAACTCGACGCGCCTGGACTGTGCGCATATAATCAACTTTCTGCGAGATATTCGTTGAAACAAATAAGACTGAACGCACCCTCCGTTCAACCAAATAGCCCACGGCTTTTCCGAACTCTCCGCAGTAAGCGAACCATTCTGAGTCTCGAACGCCCAGAAAAACAGCGTGTCGTTTGGATGGTTCGGCCGGTTTACGCCGATGTTCCCAGCAAAGTTGCGGTTTAGAGGGAACGTTACGTTCGGGAGTGGGTCTTTCACGAGGAAATCTGTAGTTAGAGATAAAAATAATTAGTATTGACATTGATATTTTATTTATTTAATTGATGATGATGTTGAAGAAGTTGATGTAAATCCGAGAGCACATGTAATGACGGATTGAACAATTGATAGACGGAAGAATAAATGTTGCATTTGTACGACGCAACGGATGTACGATACGGGCGCGGCCTTCCAACCAGCGCAGCTTTCTTGGCTTGAGAAAAAATAGATGGAAAGATGTGCTCACAGTCTTGCCACTCAGGGCTAAAGTCGCCCGCAGGTTTACCAGGATAATCATGCGGAAACGAATTGGGCAGCTCAGATGAACTGTTTTGCGCGTAGACCGAACCAGACGCGACAAGGCTGGTGGTAACAGCAGCGAGCAAGCCAATGCTGAACATCCTCACGAAAGAAAGTTTACTCTCCCGCCAGGCGTGTTATTCTACGTGACACGAACGAAGAGACTCAGAGAGCACGTCCTAGATCCCGAGCGCGGAGCAGAGGAGAGCGAGAGCCCAGAGAGAAGGGACATGATGAGGGTGTATGAGCCCTTATATATGCGAAACAATGAAAATGTCGCGTATAGGGTTCGTCAAACCGGTAACGTCAGAAAGATGATTGCTTCTGAGACCGCACCACACACACAACAGTCGAACGAATGCAGGAGTGCGAAGAAGCGCACTCCCGCCCGTTGCCGTAGCCGAGTAGTTGTTATGGAATGGATCCGCGCAAGTAAAACAACACGAAACCGCGTGATAAGCCCCGCCTTATGGCCCGACGACTGCGTGCACTACCGCGAGTGTATTGCCTCATTCAGGTTTGATTCGCCTTGTACGCTCCGGTGTGGATGGCACAAGTCCCGAGCCATCTTGACATCCATATGGTCTGTCTTATGATCCTGGCCGCATAAAGTTCTCGATCCACTCCATCTCCTGATATAAAAGATCGCAGTACCTTCAAATAGATTCAAATGTTTATCCTGTCATCTATTTTAGTGCTTCAAGACGCCGCGCCACGGGAAAATCAGCACATTTTGGAGCATTTAAGAGGCGAGCACGGAACATTGGTAAAGCAAAGTAATCGAGGAATAGAATTACGAGTTCCTGTCGTTTTCCGCGGGCAGATCGCGCCTTGTATTTTCACCCCACATCATCCTCGCGGCTATATTTCAGACGGACAGAACTGACTCCGAGAGACCCGAAATGTCCATACGCACTCACGAAACGGGTGCTTTGCCCGTTCACTAATTGGAAAATCCAGCACAATTTCAAACTTTCCTGCCACTCAAGCCTTAAATTCAAATATCTTTATTGCGTCATTTATTGATGCATATTTTGCATAATGAATTGGACAGCTTCTCAAAGCAAGGGACAACATGTTAACAAAATATTGCAATATAATGTGTGGTGGAATCTCATTGGGCGTCATCTTATCCGACCAAGTAAGCAAAATATGCATTAGAATGTTTTGAACCATATGCATGTTCTGGTATGGTACTGTATGGTATGGTATATTTACCCAGTATAAGTCCCAGAAAAGAAACATGTCTCACTATACATCAATTAGATAATAGAAAGAAGCCTGCTTCAGAATGCAAAGTTTAACTCAACTCTGATACTGACTCTGATACTGACACCACAAAGCTCCCTTGATGGATCCGACTCGGGTACACACGAACCTCTTTCCCTGCAACAAAGAAGATTACGGAAAAAATTAACCGAATCATTGATAATTGGATCCGTCTCATCCAGATCGAAGGCAATCCTCAATAAGTACACCAATTCACCTGGGCGAAAGTCTGGTAAAACAACATCCAATAATTATATGCAAGCTGCATTACCTCCTACATGCATACACACACGTACATAACTACCCAAAACACAGCCTACCAAACCGACAAACGAATACGCAAATTCAAGCAAACACATCGCCCGAAAGGTAACGTACTTACATGCAAAACACGCCTCCAGAGCGTAGAAACAAACACAACAAACACAACACAACACAACGAACGAACGAAACAAACAAACAAAAAATATGTACGATGAAGTAAAAAAAAAACCAACTGAAAGTCAATGACGGATGCCAAACAAACAATGTCAAATAATGGTGTATATCATCAGCAAACAGGGTGGATGGAAACCAAAAGTCATCTTCACAAACAAGTTATGCAAAGATAAAACAACAACCATAAAAACAAGAAAAACCAAAAATGCCATGACGTGTATCTAACAACTGCCCCTACTCCAACCCGCCCCTCGAATACGCAGGCGGAGCGACGACCGACTCAGCAGCAGTACTTAAATTCATCGGCATCGGTAACGGCATCGTTGGTCCATTCAAGTTCATACGCTGTTGTTGTTCTTGGAGCGTCTGCATAGCAGCTTGGATCGCTGCCATTTGGTTTAATAGGTCTACTGGACTGACGGGAGTCATGACGAAGCTGTTCATTGTGTGCGATTGCGATTGCGATTGGGATCCTGATGAGCTGCCGGACATGAGGGAGAGGTGTCTGTTGGTGGTAGTGTCGCGTTCGACAGAGCTTGCCTGAAAAAATGATAAACGTTACGGAAATGAGATTAGGTGGTTAGGATTATCCGAGTAGGAAGGGGAATAGGACGTACCGGACCAGCTATAGGGGGTTGGCCTTTCTCGTTCTCTGGTGACTCGTACGCTGCAACCAGAGTCTGCATAGACTGCGTTTTGAACATCCGTGAGTTACCTCTCTGTGGAGCTATCCTGCCTTCTTCACGACTATCAGAAAAAAATTAATCATCAGTAAAAAAAAATACGCGGTTTTTATAGTCGAAGAAAATCAAGTGACGCACTTGAATACGGCAGGACGCGGAGCCAACATCTCCGAATCGTCTCGTCCGAGTCGGAACCACGATCTTCCCGTTGAAGTAGTCATCGACGTCGGCGAACGCGCATCATTCTGCATGTTGGTATACTCCGCAGAAGCACGCCTCGCTCTCCTCCGACAACAAAACAGGAGCAACAAAAGGAGGAGTAACGCAAGAACGCCTCCAACAACACCTCCAATTATCGCTCCCATATTTCGATGCGAAGAAGTACCGGAAGTCGCTTCGGACGCCGTTTCGCCTGGAGGTAATGACGAAGGTGTTACGGCGACCGTGATCGTTGAGGAGCCCGAGACAATGGTAACTGAGGAAGAGTAGAGGGCAGAGCGAGACGTTGAGGAAGCCGCGACAAGAGATGTGGAAGAATCGACTTTACTTGAACTTCCGAGCGAGGATACGGCGATTTGCGTGTGGTCATCCGCTGAGTCGTTTGAGGCTCTTGACGAAGACGACTCAGGACTTGAACCGGACGACGATGCAGAGCCCGTTGTCTTTGGCGGAGACGCGGGAGTATTAGCATTAGCTGATGAAGAAGAAGCTGGAGCTGGAGCTGGAGCTGGAGTAGGCTGAGGGGTGGGCGTTGGGGTAGGTGTTGGTGTTGCCTTTGGAGTGGTCGTCGGTACGGGAGCTGCAGTCGTCGCTTTTGCCTGTGAACTAAAGAAAAAAACCGGTCAGGCCCAGTACATGGAAAACAGAAGGGAAAATGCGAAAACATACGAGGAATCACTTTCGTCAGACCCGGTCTCGCCATCCCACCCCCAGGGAGGACCACCACTGCCGCCGCCGCCATAACCGCCTCCCCAGCGTTGAGGAGTACGTCGGTTTCTCGTCTTATCATGTAACGGAGCAGAACTAGCGGGTATCGAAAGTTGAAAAATGCATACAAAGAACGGAAGTGGAGAAAAAAAGAGTGTAGGTGCCCGAGAGCTACGTGAAGAACAAGAATAAGAAGCGGTAGTTGTGCGCGACGTCGACGAGGAGGCCGACCTCATTGCGGTCGTGGTCTCTTGGAAAGAAAACGACGAGACCCATCAAGAACGTTCTCTTCATATGACCGAGGGGTGGAAAGAAATGAGATCGCCTGACTACTAGCGCGAGAATCTGACAATTGGCATTGATGTCCTTGATAGAAATCATGGAAACGAACAACTTATCCCCGTTTGCTATAGCCTTCTCAACTTGCCCTTTTCGGCACTATGAGGATACAACACGTGATTTAGCTTCTTCCTTTTCAAGCGTATGATTTTCGCGTTCTGTGTCCCTGCCATTGTTGTGAATGTCAAAATCCACCTCTCTGACATGGGAGGCGTGTATCAGACTACTATGTTTCACTGAACATTGCCCATCACATCGTTGAGATGCACATATCACTAGTATAATTATCGTGAATTCTCTGATTGAAAAATCTCCTTTTAGTGTGCTTCTGATATTCTTTTGCTTCCACCTCGCATCATGTGAGATACGGATGCCGCTATTTATTTATCTCGGCGTCTGTTTCCCGCGAACCTCAGATGATTGAATTACATTCAAAAAAAAAGCGTCGGCTCTGAAACTAGTTTATCTCTTATGCAAATATGAATAGAAGAGATTACAACTGTAAAATTAAAACAAGCAAAGAAGCACGTCTTGGGCTATAACAAATCAATTATCCGAATAAAGCAAATCTTCAGAAAGATGAAATCAAATATCCCAATCAAACACTGTGTAATAATAATAACCTCAAGTGATACCCCCGAGAACGAAAGTACGTCAATGTGCCACCACAGTCGTCGGGACACACTGCTAATCCCTGATGGTTCAACTCATATCGCATAATGATTATTATTAGTAACAAGATGGCAAAGGACGAATTCTGTAGAGAAAGGAAAAATATATTTACTGCAAGTAAAGCATTTATAATACTACAATCCTCGTTCTCCCCTTCCCCTCGTCAAAGACATCATCCCTAATCCCAATCCATGTAATTATAAACTTAAAACTTGAAAAACCCACGTTTCTTCTTCAACTTCCCATCCCCACCACTCGCAGGCGTCACCTCCGCACCAGCACTACTAACCGAATTCATACTCTGCGTCGAACTCAACCTCGGTCCCCCTCCCCCTCCCCCTCCACCACTCGGACTCAACAACCCACCAAACCCTCTTCCAGGTCTCTGTTGCTGCTGATCCGGTCCAACAGGCGCCGACTTCGCTCGAGGCGGAGGCACGATGGGCTCAGCAACATAATACCTCTCATCATAATACCTCTGCATACTACCCAACGCTTCCCCAACTCCATTCGGTGCAACTCTTGACCCTACACCTCCCAATTCTAGGACTTTCAAATCGTCCATGAACTCTTCTGGCGTAGTCGCGTGCGAACTTCCAATTATCACGTCTCGATTTAATCGAGAAGAGCGTTGGTACGCGGTGCGCATTTCGCTGTAGGTCATACCACCTGCTACGAATACGAGTAGTCTTTCCCGCGTTGAGTCTTGTGAGGAGCCACCTGGCCCGCCTGGTCGAGGTGCTTTGTGCCATGCAGCGCGTGCACTGCGGAGAGAGGTCGTTTGTGGAGGTGGAGGTTTTGGAGAGGCGGTTTTGAGGCTTTGGGCTGGGGAGTCTTTGACGTAGGGGAATACGGATGTGTCGAGTTTCCCCGAGACGTGATCCTACAAAACCAGGTGAAGTAAAAACAACAATGAATACCGAGAGAAATGAAAACGATAGAAGGACAACGCACATCCAAAACAGTCTGCAAAACAGGCTTATACCTCGACAAATCATACTCCTCATCTTCCCCCGGTCTGGCCTTCACCTTCCTCCTAATATCCTTATCCGCCGGACCACGCGTCACACGTACACCTAAATGCACCAAACTACCAATCGCATCGATCTCTGCGAGTCGTAGTCGTGCATGCTGGCAGAGCCGTCGTTTGTCTTCTTCTGGTACACCTTCGCGGTATTGGATGTAGAGCGAGATGATGCGCATTTTGTTGGCGTTCCTATGTGGGATAAGAAGAATCAAGGTTAGAAAGAAGAATGCGTAAGGTAAGGAGAGGCGCGTACACCACGTCTTTGCTATCCAGTACAGGAACCATCTCTTCAACGAGCGTTTTAGGTGTCTTCCCCTCAGCGGTGAGACCAGTCGCACAATTCTAGAATACAGAGGCTCGTCAATTATATCCATCACTCTCTGGAAGAATCCACGAACCTGCTCGATGGTTGCCAGAGCAGGCAAGTTCTGCGACTCAAACAAATCCATACATTTTTGCGCAATCGATAAATGTAGCGAGAACTACACAAAAAACAGTCGAGAGGAGAATCGTCCCAGTTCTGTGTCAAAGTTGTTTCTACGTCGAGAACTACACGTACCTTCGCCATCTGCGACTGGTACTGCGGCAACGTCGCAATCATATCCCGCATAGCTTCCATACTCGCCGGACCCTCCCTAATCCACAAATTTCGGTAAAAATGCACAAATAAGCATACTTAACTTCCGCGTAATCGATTCTCCCGAAAAAAAAAGTTTAAGTAAGAGACGCACCCAGTAAACGACGTATGTTCCTTCAAGAACTCATTAAAGTCTCCCATAAGCTTATCAATCGCCTCACGCATATGCAAGTGTCGTACGTCGACCCATACAGGGTCTTCGTCATTCAACACTACCTCGTTGCGTTCTTCCATCCCTACGTTGTTCTTGTGTATATGTCTGCGTGGTGAACAAACGAAAAAATAATAACTTAAATTTAGTTGAATGTAATGAGGGGTTGGGGAGAGAGAACTGACAAGTATTGAACACCATCAACGATATCAAGCAAATCATTCGCCATAGCCTGATACGTGAACTCATGCAAAAACGGGGCGACAGCGTCCATCGAGCGGTCCGTAATAATTAACGTCCCTCTCGGTCGTCCTTGCTTTTTCTACTCTCCACCAAAAAAAATCCAATCAGTCAAGGACAACCAAAACCCAATTGCACAATCGATCACAAGAGAAGAAGGAAAGCAGTTGAGCAACTCACAGGAAACTCCGGGTTCCCCCTCTCATACTCCTCCAACAACCCCTGTACCATCACCGCCAACGCCCTACTAACATACTCGTTCTCAGCATCCTCATACGCACGCGCCGTAGCCCCTCTCGCAAGGTTCGTACGCCACCTTTGCGAACCCTCTGTTGGCGGTGGTGGGAGGAACGCTTGTGTAGGGATGAGTGGACCGAGAGGCTTGTGGTGTGAGGGTTGGTAATAACGGATGTAGGGGAATTCGTTGAGGGTAATGCAGATGTTGGCAATCTAGAGTATGTGTAGGAAGCATATAATGAATTATTATGCCACTTTTTAAATAAGAGGGAGGAGCAACGTACATGTCTAGCAGTAAACTTCAAATCCTCCATAAGTCGCTCTCGCATCGGTCCAATCGCTTGTTGTCCACGCGGAGGAGAGAACGCGCTGAAAAACATCTGCGGCGACTGGATGGAGAACACACACGCCTCCATAGCCCAAAAGTTCAAGAACAACTCCGTTACGCATACGAGGAAGTCGATTGCGGGTGAGTTCGTGAGTCGTTGGAAGAGTTCTTCGGGGAGTGCTGTTGTTTGTTATCCAGAGAGCCATGTTCATCCATACATATGCATTCGTTCATTCATGAGTTTGAGCTCATAATAAAAGGGGAAGAATAGAAAAAGAGGAAACGCACGGTCAAGAAAGAATAAATGCACCTTCTTGAACTGTCGATTTCCATACGAGAATTCGTTAACGATACGTTCGACGTTCTGCGTTGTAGCCATGAGGATGTACATCGCCTCTTGCTCCGGTAGCGGCTCGTAAAGTCGATCCGTGTTGACGAAAATCGCTACCGTCGCGAATCCATGTCCATGTCCATGTCCGAGTCCACGTATAATCAACACCACATCACATCACAGCGGAGCGAGCGAGCGTTAAGTTCGTACAATTAAATATAAGCAAACATGGAGAATATTAGCAACCTACTTCACAAACAAAAGAACACAAGACAGAAAGACCCACCAGTCACACCCTCCTCAAGTATATCATTCCTCTTCAACACATTATACAACACCCTCTGCGAATGCTCGTCCACAACAAGCGCTTTCCGTCGTGCAGGTGGCTCAGGCTTAACATTACGGATCGCTTCCAGGAACTCTACATATCATTAATGCGGGTTGACGCAAGTGACAAACGGAAGTAGAAAGAGGGGAGCCACACGGAAATGAAGCAGGGGTGGAGGCAACCGTAGGTGAAGTGAGGTGAGGTGATGACGATCGGACCCGCAACAACGCAAACGCAACGTTCACGAAATACAAAACCAGAATCAACAATAATCATCAGTATAGATTAGAGGATATGAGAGAAGGACTGGACGTACTCTCCCGAGCGACAGTGAGCAACGAGGACATGACGGACGATGAGGAAGGAAGCAAAGTAGTAAGAAGAGCACAAGTGATAAATGGTCTACGTTGCTTGTTTAGTCGGCTGCCGAATGCGCCGCGAATCGCGTGCTCGTCTCCATTTACACAGCGTCTCATCATTTCACCTCTTCAATTCATTACTTGTATGTATCCAACCATATAAAATCACTACTTGTGTAGATAAATCCTAACATCCAGTATACCACATATTGCAGACAAAATATATCTCCAACCGGCAGAAAAAAATTGTAAATGTATTCATATGATATGATATGAATCGGAATAGGTCTGTCTGTCTGTCTCGATGTACATCATCGTGGCAAAGACAAAAATTATCGGTTCATGTCCGTCATAGAAATTTAAAAAGGACTAGCAACAGAATAAAAAAAGCTACCGAAAGAGAATTAAAAGTTGTGTCGATAGCTCGTCAAGAAACGGAAATAGAAAAGGAAAAGTAGAAAGGGGAATCGGATAGTAGAGAGTAGAGTGTGACGGGAATAGCGGGTGTTCAGAACATGCACGAACGAGAGAAAAAGGGGGGAATCAGAGCAGGGAATGCCCATTATCAAGAAAATGGCCTGTAGCTAGCTAGTCGTCGTCGCGTTAATGATTGGTTGGGAGAAGAGAAATCAGGGGGAAATCCAAGCATCTAAAAAAAACTTTTCCATTTCCTTTCATATGCTTCTTATGCAACAAGCACACCACCAATCAATACCGATAATCCCGCAAGCATCGCGCCCAGCGTCGGCACACCTGCGAAATTGGCAAGAGCTCCCGAGCCTTGAGCGGCGCCACTCTTGCCGCTGACGGCCGTTGCTCGAGCAGAGGCAGTCGTAGTTGCGTTTCCTGAAATCAGAGAGTTAGGGTAAGGGAACGTCGTGTTCGTCGTCGTCTCCAAGTACAGATCCGTTGCAGGCCAGCCCTGGCAAGTGCCGATGGGCTCAAGAGTCAACTGAGGCTGGAAGGTGATTGCCTTGTCTAGTGTGTAACCAACGGCAAGGTCGACCGACTGTTGATACAGATCATGCTGAAGTACAATGAAACCAGTGTTGATCTGCGTAGCATTGCCCAAAATCTCCTCAAAGGCCTGAAGCGACTGAGGACCAGTGACGGTACCACCTGGCACCTTCCAGTCTATCAAGTCTGGTTAGTTACATTGGTCATAGTGAAGCGTGAAGTGATTTACCATTGGTATCAAACTGGTTGTTCTGGGGGCCACGAGTCCAGATGATAGGAACCATGCCCATAGCAAGAGCAATTGCACGAACACGGTCGTCAATGTCTCCGTACGGTGGGCGCATAGTGACAGGAGTTACACCGAGGACAGTCTGAATCGCCTTACGAGTCCAGCCAAGCTCCGCAACGATCTGCTCGTTCGTGAGCTTCGTCAAGTCGGGATGCGACCAGGTGTGGACGCTGATCTCGTGGCCAGACAGGAACTCGGCACGGAGGACATCAGGACGTTCAATGACACGCGAGCCAACAGTGAAGAACGTGGTCTTGAGCTTCTTCTCGTCGAGATAGTCAAGAAGCTTCGTGGCTAATAATAAAAGTGTAAGAGCCTATTAGAGTAAAATTAGACAAAGAAGCTCACTGTAGAATCCGGGACCGTCATCGAAGCTCATTCCCCAGGTAAGCTTATTGGGGCAGGCAACGATATCTGTGCTTCGAGTGTATCCACCGCACGTCCACCAACCACGGTTGGCAGCGTCCGCAGCTGCCTCTGGGGAACCAGCGCAAGTACCGTCGGTCGTACTTAGGTTTGGGATGTTGAAGCCCTCAAGCTCCTTCATCCACTCCTGGACCTCAGGAGAACCTGAGAAAAATACTAAGCATTGCAAATACGACATGTAAACTAAAAATATTTACTAGGATCGGGCATCTTGTCCATCGCCGGCCATTGTGAAGGAACGATGGTATCTGTCGGGAAAGTGATGTAAATGATCCGGCAACCGAAGAACAAATAAGGTTTGAGAAAAACGTACACGACGGCAAAGCTGGTGCGCCTGAAATCGAAGGCTTTTGTCCAGCTGCGGGCGTCGAGCTGAGAGCGATAGTAGACTCTGAGATAGCTCCTGAGGTGATATTGGAAATAGGAGGGATGTTGGTGGGAGCAAGGGTAGTGACGATAGACGTGGCAGGAGCAGCGGTCGTGATAGACGGTGCACCCGGAACACCAGACGTCACGCTGGAAACAGTTGGCGCTGCTGGCCCCGACGAAGTCGAAGAAGGGGCTGGCGCAGGGGTAGACGAAGACGGAGGCGCTTGGCGCTTGACAAGACGAGCATGTCTAGCATTGAGGTCTGTAGCAGACGCTAGGGTGAATAAGGTTGCGAAGGCGATAAGGGATCTCATGATGACCGTGTGGAATCGCGGTCAACGAGTTCGTGTGAGGGGGCGAGCTGGCGCAGAGGATGTAAGGAGAGTGAGATAAAGAGCGGAATACGCAACAACAAAAGAGCGAGTTGCGAGGCAAAGAGCCGGAAAAGACAGGCAGGAGGGAACAGAACAGGGGTGGAGGAGGTGGAATGGAATGAGAGCAACGACAGAACAGCAGGCCAAGCCTTCATTTTCAATTCAGTCGCTCTTCCCACGCCGCTCGGCTGACCGGCTGTCAGCCGTGTTCCCTCCCCTTTTTCCACATCGTATCTCCCGTATCCAGTCCAGACGGACAAATGCGCAGCCAGATTTTCATGCATTCAATGCGCTGTGTGCCCTCAACGTCGTTGTGTGCAGTGAGCAACATACCTCCATCACATGGATCGTCCGAGATGCGATCGAGCTAACGGCTTCCGTCCTCCTGCATCCTTCCTCTTGTCCTTGGCTTTCGTTCCTCTGCCTCGCTGTTGTTAATCTGTTTATTTCCGCACCTCCTGACATTTTCCAAGCAACGACCAACCCCTCACCAACTCAATGAGCGGCGGAGAGGTCCACGCCGTGCCGAGATTTTTAGCACTTTCCTAGCCTGGAACAGCGGAATCATCTGTAGATCATACACATCATTCACGGTTGCTTCTAATTTCCGTGCCGATCCCGGCTTGCCGGAATATAGCACTGCAATCCGGAAATACAATTTTTTAATTTGCATCTGCAATGTTTTTTTCGATGCGACGGAGCTCCGTCGTCTCGTTAATAATGCTTGCCGCGGCTGTAAATGTACACCATTTGTGCATCCTGCGCGGAAACATGCTCTCAGAAGACTTCAAAGTGCGACCTGTCTTCTGATGCATCATTCTAGAGTCTACTCTAGCATCCGTGCCTCAACGGATTTTCAAATTCAAGTACATGGAACCAATCGTCCTCGCAGCTTCATCTCAGCGCGCTCTTACCGAACTGGATCAAGGTCCCGTTGCACGTTGCGTTGACCACAAATCAAGAATTTCTCCCGAAAATCAATTGGATATCAAATTGATATGACATTATGATCATTATGATGTCCTAAAAATAGTCTGCACCTTTATTTTATGACAGCCGATCGGAGCCACAGCAACGCTGACAATCGAGATGCGTAAGTACGCATGTAAGTGACGTTCAGAATACTTCTGTTTACGTTTGTGATTCTACAGGTTCCTCAACTTGTATCCTAGCTTGTTCAAAATCATAGTTCGCCAATGTCCTCATTCCACTCCTATCAAAACATCAGTCCACCTCATTCCTAAAACGAACACTCAATCGAAGTAAATTAAACGCACCTCAGGATGTTCTCTTATAAACTTCGCCATCAACTTCTTACATTCCTTATTATCCATAACAACGACTTCCACGCCTCGGGATTTGAGGTAAGCTTCTCCACCAAGGAAATTCGTGTTCTCCCCGATGACGACGCGGGGGATACGGTAGAGGAGGATGGCGCCGGTACACATGTCGCAAGGACTTTATAATATAATATTATTAATTCATGGGATGACTCTAAGAATGAGCATGAACCTACCTTAAAGTTGTATACTACAAGAAAACTCAGCTTGAATTCAGTAACCCACTCCAAACAAATCAATATCAATGTGAAATATACACACCATGGTACACCGCCTATACAACTCCGCACTCCTCCTCCCCGCCCCCTCAAGCACAGCAATCTCCGCATGCAAAATAGCACTATCTTGTTGAATTCGACAATTATGCCCTACACAACAGATTTCATGGTCTTCGTATTCTTTACCACTTGAATTTAGGGCTCCTTGGGTGATTAGGACGGCACCGATTGGTATCCCACCCTCGGCTTCACTTATTTTCGCTTCGCGGAGGGCGAGGTAGAGGCCGAGCTCGTCGTTGAATTTGGGTTTTTGGGTTGGGTTGGTTGGGTCTGGATTTGTTGAGGACATGTTGGTGATGTTAGGATAGGAAGATAAGATATGGATTCTAGAGGGTTTGTTTATGACTGGTCGATAGTGTTGGGTTTTACATATAAACACGGGATGGAAGCTTGCACGACGAATTCTTCTTGATAACCATGACGACCATATTCTGAGATACATAGTTGTGGTTCCCGAAGATGCTTTCTTTATACAGACTCAAGTATTTACTGAAATCAGCCAGGTTAACTCATCTACGCTGTTTGCACACGTTTTAGACATCGAGGTAAAGCTACATACGTTATTTATTGTATTATACAACCATAATTTTGCTGAAGGAACAAGGTATAAATCTCAAGGGTATGGAAACGAGAAAATGACAGATTAACGAAGCTGTGTCATCCTTCCAGCGGCTGGAACCGATCATAATAAGATTTTGTCTCCGCCTCAATAACCTCCTGCGTCGATTCCGGTAAATCCTCGACAAACTGACCCGGTGCACCAGAAAAGTGAGCGAGGGCGGGTACGACGCAGCCTGGCATGAGGACTGTGTTGTCTGCGATCTTTGCGCAGTCTTTGATGATGACGAATTTACTCTGCATTATGCCAAACGGAGGACATAGACGTTGTATAGATGTTGTAAGTGAAGGTGTTATTGTGGGTAGAGGATGAAGGAGAAGACGCACGATGATGCAGTTCTTCCCAATCTCGACGTGGCTTCCTATCGAGGCTGCTTCAACGATACTACCAGCGCCGATATGTACATGGTCACCAATCTTCATAGGATAGTAATTGAATTGTCCACGGTAGGTCTTGTAGGGAGGTCTACGAATTAATTAATTAATTAATTAATCAATTATCATCCATTTACTCCGATTAAACTATGCTTTGCGGTATGTAAAGTGAAGAAGACTCACCTAACAACACAATTCTCCCCAATAACACAATACCTCCCAAGCTGTATGACAACCGTATGACCTGGACCCGTTCGTCTCAGGTCACCGCGGATAATAGCACCACTGGAGATGATAGTCTTTCCTCCGAGGATTATGTTTTGCGGACCTGCGATTGTTGCTCTTCGAGAGACTTTGTTTCCTGTGTCCTGCTCATATCAGATGGCAGACAAAGATGATATGAGAGAAGTACTAACAGTCTCGATGAACTCGTTTTTGATGTAATAGACTAGTGGTTGTAGGATGTTCGACATATTGAAGCCTCAACTTGGCGTTGAGTAACAACGCGTTTGACAAGATTTAGTGTCTTGACTGGTGGCAATGCCGTGATCGACGATACCAAACCTGGCCACTACAACAACAAGGGTCAACAACACTGACGCGTCCCTACAGCGTGAGCACCGCGTCCACCGTCCTTACCTTGCAGCCTCTCCTTACCTTCCTGCCATCTCACCACTCGACCTTCACTATTATACAAGATGGATAATCAAGCGTCTACATCTTCTGGAGAGATGGATCAGAGGAGGAAAGACGCTCTGACGGGCTATCGCAATGTGAGCACCCGTGGCGATCATTCCACAATCCACTCGACTAACTGTAGCCGTTTAGAAAATGCGAGAGCACGAAATGAGTAGTCAGAGTCTTAAAAACTGTGAGACTCTCTTTCTCATACTAGTTTGAGGCACGTAGATGTAACTGAACGTATTGATTTGTGGTTCAGTACGATTCTCCCTTAAGGACCTGGAGAAGGACTTTGAGAAGACGGAGGATGATATCAAAGCCGTACAGTCCGTTGGCCAGATTATTGGAGAAGTGATGAAGCAGCTGGATGATGAACGATGTATGCTTAATACTCTTTTCCATTGCTAATACCGTACCTTACAATAGTTTCTTGGTGATGTAGTTATTGTCAAAGCCTCTTCAGGCCCACGATACGTCGTCTCATACAGACCCGCATTACCCGCCGCAAAGCTGAAGAACGGGACGCGTGTCAGCTTAGACATGACCACGTTAACCATCATGCGTATCCTACCTCGCGAGGTCGATCCGTTAGTATACAAGATGTCGCTTGAAGACCCAGGAGGGGTAACTTTCGCCGGGATTGGAGGGCTGGGCGAACAAGTCCGGGAACTTCGTGAGGTACGTCTAATGCCAATCTTCACCCGTTGTATATGCTTGCTAATAATCATCTCACCTAGGTCATCGAACTCCCCCTAATGAACCCCGAACTCTTCCTTCGCGTCGGTATCCAACCCCCCAAAGGCGTCCTCCTCTACGGTCCCCCAGGAACAGGCAAAACCCTCCTCGCACGCGCAGTAGCCGCAACCCTCGACACCAAATTCCTCAAAGTCGTCTCATCCGCCATCGTCGACAAATACATCGGAGAATCCGCACGTGTCGTGAGAGAGATGTTTGGATACGCACGAGAGAATGAGCCGTGTATTATCTTTATGGATGAGATTGATGCGATTGGTGGGAGGAGGTTCTCTGAGGGGACGAGTGCGGATCGGGAGATTCAGAGGACGCTTATGGAGGTGCGTTGTTCAACGCTTTCAGTACTCTCAGACCTTCATTTAATCCGAAACTGCGATCGTAGCTCCTAAACCAAATGGACGGCTTCGACACACTCGGTAAAACAAAACTCATAATGGCAACCAACCGTCCAGACACCCTCGACCCGGCCCTCCTCCGTCCAGGCCGACTAGACAGAAAGATCGAGATTCCCCTACCAAACGAACAAGGTCGACTCGAGATTCTCAAAATCCATGCTGGACCTGTGAACAAGGGCAAGGACATCGATTACGAAGCGATCGTGAAACTCTCGGATGGGTTTAATGGTGCAGATTTGAGGAATGTGGTTACTGAGGCTGGGATGTTTGCTATTCGTGAGGACCGGTTAGTTGTCTTTTCTTCGTGGCTTGAGTGCCTATTGGGACATGATAACTAATTTTTTGCGACAGTGAGTTTATCACCCAAGAAGACCTTACTAAAGCTGCGCGGAAGGTTGGAGAGGCGAAGAAACACGAAAGTACGTAGCATTTAAAACTGTTTCTCGTCCCATTTTTCTGACATCTTGTCTTACAGCTAAACTAGAGTACTCGGCTGCTTGATTCTATTGTAGACACGTTGTATCATTCCATGCCCCATTTCATGAACTTGATACCTGCAAAAATCAAGTTTTGACCTTTACTGAGCCGCAAGTCGTGCAACACACTTGAATGCTATTGGCCAACATGCACGCCCGAGTGTTTTATGTCTTAGTTCTCGACGAGCATATTCCGAGAAAATCACTTCAGCGCATGTCTGGCTATTGCATTCACCTGCCGTGCAAGTTTTTTGAACACCACTCGAATCTATGACACGCAGATTATCGACAATATAGTAAGAAATCGAAGGCAGCGAGCAAAGATCCGAATAAGACATTCGTCCATTACGGGCAATGCGAGCAGACAGTAATACAGTACAGGTACAACAGAGGCATCGCTACATGTTCGAGAAGAATACATCCAGGTATCGCAGAAATACAGAGTCGGAGAGTACGAGAAGACGGAGAATTCAGAAATGAAAAAGACGAAGGGTAGGCATCAGTCGCGACTAGTGAGGTCTAAGATACGATTACGAGGCTGCATCGAGCAAGCCGAATGTGTAGAATTCAAGCAATTATCGAAGTCGTTATGAAATAAGAATGAATGCAAGGGATGAAATGACGGTGATATGGATATAATTTCTTCCTGAAGAAATCCTTTGAATGATCGTCACGAGTCGAATCGAAGCGAGTGATTAGACGGCAAGGATAGTGCATAGCGCACCGCGAAGAGTTGAGAATTTTAGTCTGACAGCGTTGTATAGTCACCCATCGCGGCGAGAAACAGAAGACGAGAAAAGAGAAGAGACATTCCATCCACCAGGTATTAAAGGAGCGGCACGAAGAATCCAGGGTCTTCTGGGTATATGCTGGTTCGACAACGCTAGATAGAGTGAACCTAGCAGACTGTATATCCGGGAGGACGTTTGCAGCCCGTAGCCTTGTTGTCGAGGTGTCTTTTCAAAGAGTCCTTTCTAGCGAATCCTTTGCCGCATTTAGGGTTGGGGCAAGGCCAATCCGATTGAGAGACGAAGTGCGAGCGCTGATGACGGAGGAAATCTGGAAGACGCTGAGTGTGCTGGATCCAGGGGCAATGAGGGCACTTCCAAGGATTTTCAGACTTCATCATACTCTGCAGAAGTAACGCAGTTGCACTTGACGTGTTGCTGCTGACAGATGCGATTGACGAAATTGTAGAATCTGAGTTCGTGGAGTCCGTGCGACAGAGGCGCTTGCGAGGGCTAAACGGCTTCGATCCTTTCCCTCGCTTTCGCTTGTTCCTAGAGACAGACAGTTTGGCAACAATCATAGCTTTCTTTGCGCTCCCTTCACCATCGTAGTCAGAATCAGGTTCGGATTCATCGCCGATTGAGGAAATGCTGTCTTCCCGGCCATTACCACCAATGAGCGACGGAGTTGACAGAGTAGATTCTGGAGTCGGTGGAGGAGCATCAGGTGTAGACTTTTGCATCTCTTCGTCCTCGTGTGTCTTCAGTGTCTTCAAATCTTCGGTTTCGTCGTGTATGTCACTGAACAGCTGGTCCGATGGAGGGAATACATCAGCCTCAGACTCATCGAAGAGCTGAAGTCCCTCAGCAAGGAGCTCCTCCCACTCCCGATCATCGCACTCATGTATGTGTTGTTTCGGGCAGTAGCGCTCTTCAATGGACGTCTCATGGACTTCATTGCAGATGACAGGAGAGAAAAGAGACCGAGGATAGCAGAAAGCAGAGAAGTCTGAGGCGGCAGAGTGTATGACACCGAGCATTTCTACAGAGTCCACTTGCGACTACAGAGGTGGCATCCAGTCTGGCGAACGTGAACTGCTCCCGCTATTTAGTAATAGGTGAGGATAACGCATACAGTGAGTCGTCAGACCCGTTGATGCGGATCAGACATACCTGAGCGGCGTCTTGCACCGCAACTATCCCGTGCCTGCTGCAGCAGGGACTGTCGACACCTAAGGAAGGTAAAAACGGTAAGAAGCAGACATCTAACAAGCAGATTACCAACGCCTGTATATCCTACTAGCGGCCTGTCCACGACCACTTTCGGCGCTCGAGGTTGGGTGGAGGTGGCAGAGGTTCAGTGCAGAGATTGAATTTCACGAGGCGAAGAGTAATTCAGACGCGTTGCTGATTTTAAACTCCGAAGCTCACGTGTCAACTCCGCTTCAACTCTTCACTTCGCACGTAAATCACCAAGAAAATCTTTCATTTTGACTGCTACTGGAACATCAATGCGTCATCTAATGCGAAAAGAAAGTGATAATGTTCGTATGCCGAAGAAAGGTCGTTAGAACAACAGTGATAAGGCGAGTTTGTAGAACGCCCGTTTTGTAGAAATTATACGGAGTTCAGTACACTGGAACAAGGAGAAAAAAGACGATACAGAGCTCAAGCAGATTGAAGAGCACTCAACAATGCGGACTTGTCCTCGTCGGACAGCTCCCGCATTAACTCAGTGAGACCGTTGAAGGTCGCCTTCCTGTCAAGTCGTACAGCACGGCGTAATGCCTCGACCACACGCGCGCTTCGGAATGACGATAGTGTCGGAGTAATGTCGAGTCGTTCGAGCGTTTCAGCCGTTTGGCGCATGTCGGTCGCGTCAGGTGGGGCGAGCTGCGTAAGAACCTGGGCTCGATATTCAGGCGACGACTCTGGGTTCGCTTCGGCGAACTGAGCGAGAAGCCTTGAGCGTGCAAGACGAGCACGAAGCGACCAATAGAAGCGGCGGCGTGCATCCTTCCAGACACAACGTGTCGCACAGCCCTTTGCTTCCATGCGTCCAGCATGACTAAAAGACAATAGGTCAATAATACAGTCAGCAGATTATAGTCGAACTCCACTTACTCATGCAAGTCAGCGTATAGAAGAGCAATCTGCTTGTACGTGGGTTGTAACAGTTTCTCACGTCTTGCTAACTGCTCGGTAGCTTCAGCACGCTGTTCCGGGGTCTTCTCAGTATCGACGCTGTCTCGCTTGAGGGAAGCATAAGTATCGTCAAGTCGCTCCATCAGGCGTGCAATCTTGTCTTTACGCATCTTAATTTCGATAACGCCCTCAGGTTCCAAGACACCAGCTCTAGAATCGACATCCGCGTACATTTCCATGTGCTCCGAATTAATTGACGGATCAAGCACCACCCAAGCGCCACCGCGCAGCTCTCCGTTCGGAACGATGTAGACGAAGACGGGCTGGCGGTAGCTCACAAGGCCATCCACGATCTTCGCACCCTGCTTAAGAACTTCATCGTACATGTCTTGCTGGCCACCAGAGAATCCACGCCAGTTCGCAAATATGATAAGCGGAAGACCCTCACGATTGAAGTCAAAGATCGCTTGGGCGGTCTTATAGGCAGAATTAGGATACCAGACCTGACCTGCTTCCATGATACGCTGCTCGAAAGACGATGGGTTGGCAGGGTCTGCAGGAACAACTCGCTCAATTGTGCGTGTTTCAACTGCAATTACACCCATGGGCAGGCCTCCGAGTCTTGCTCGGCCGACAACCACCGTTTGCGCCCATCCGCTCAGGGTCTCTTGGAAGGAGCCGCGGTCGAAGAAGCCGCTGAGCCATTCAGACGTCGTTTCGTCGGTCTTGCCTTCAATGAACCAGCGAGGATCATATGCGCCTTTCGGTGGAGTGTAATCGATATCACGGTCCCAAGGATCGACCGACGCAAGAGTGGGCGGAATGTTACCCTTTACGTCTGGAATGTACGAAAGCCATTGAAGGATGTGCGTTGCTCCCTCAAGATCACTCCCGGCAGTAAGGTGGGAGACACCATTCTTGTGCATGATCTGCGTGCCACCAAGTTGCAAGTTGGAAGTATATACCTCTCGTCCGAGAACCTTGTTCAGTGCTGAAGCACCGGTCAGGATGATGGGCTGACCTTCGACCTGGATAGCCCTCTGGCCGAGGCGCACAAGGTATGCACCGATACCAACGGAACGAGCAGTGACCAAGGTAATAGTGAAGACATCCTCGTATGCGCGCGAGGTCTCACCAGCAATAAGACCAGAGCCACGCAAACACTCCACACCAAGGCCGTCTTGAAGACCGATAATATCCGTGATCTTGTATCTACGTTCACCATCGTCCTCAATCTCTTCGGTGAGCACGGATCCATCGCACTTGCTCCGCAGCTTGATGAAGTCATCTGGAGTGAGGTATAGGTACTTGATTCCCTTCTCTGGTTTTCCAGGGACATTCCATGCACAAGAGAACAGGTTCATGACTTCTTCTGCTAGTCCAATCCTTGCACCAGAGTTAGCCGACAAGTAAATACGAGGGAGACCCCGTTCGCGCGCATATTGCGAAGCGAGATAGAAGAATTGGTCTTCCTGAGGACCGAAAGATCCGATCTTGTATGTGATATCGTTCGCAATAGCTACAACTTGGCGTCCATTTGGATACTCCGGAGTGCGCATGGTGAAGACCCAACCAACCATGCCACAAATGTTGTTACCAGGTGCACGATCGAGCTCAACAAGTTGGTCATGCTCATCTAGAATGAGCTCCTTCGACTCAAACACCACCTTCGGCATCACCAGGTTCGGGTTCAAGCTTCGTTGATGAACCCAGTTGTTCTGAAGGGCCTTAGAGAAGAGGTCGGGGAAGTCATAAACATACGTCGTTCCGACCAAGTGTGCTTGATAACGCTTCGGCTGCAGTGATTCCTTGGTCGACAATGGCTGGTTGACGGGTTGTAAATGGAGAGGACCTTTTTCACCAATAGATTTGAGCACAACAGTACCCTTATCCGTCGTGATTTCCTGGTACGCATTGAAGTTTACGATGAAACCTGATACATTTTCAATGACGCAACGGATCGGTGTAACGTTTCCTTCGTTGTCTTCGAGTGCAATACGAATCTCTGAGCCTGTAACGTGGAGACGCCACAAGCGCTTTCCATGTCGCTCAATAAAGCCTGAAACAGCCTGAAGCACTTCCTCGAATGTTACACCGAGGTTGTAGATGAAGTTCATCGAAATGTGGTTGCAATCCGCGTTACGGTACCTTGCGCTAACGACCTCAAGTGCGTCAAGGATGGAGGTGACCAGCCGATCAGTTTCGGAAATAAGGTACTCTGCTGTGTTAATGCTGCCAGTGATGCGTCCAGGTCGAATAAGTGCACGGATGAAGAATCGACTGTCGAGCTGATTTTCATGAGCAACGCCATGGTAGATGTGGATCATCGACTTGTTCTCGACGAAGACTGGTGTCAAATTATAATTCTTGAGTCTGCTGAGCTCAAGTTGATAGGCCAATGCAGGCTCAATATTACGGATAGCCTGCTCTTCTCCCCAGGCCTCACCCATGTCACGCAGAGTGAAGTACAACGGGTACAGCCCTTTCCTGCAGATCATAATAGACACTCGGCGGACTCCGTGATCGGTAAGCGCCTTGCGACGTTCATTAACGAGTGCAATGATCTTCTCTGCCCATACACTTTCAGACATGTCGTCCTCTTCTTCGAAGACGCGCAGTGCAATGTTCAGGACATTCGGCGGTTGTACATCCCCGCCATAGCGACGAGCGAAATCTAAGGCGTTGAATCCCGGCAATAGCTCTGTAGCACTCTCAAACCCTTTCTCCAAGGTAGCGAAGTTCGGGAAAGAGGTCATGGCCCCTACACGTTCCGGTTGTGCATTGAAGCGGTCAACCATATAAGTGAGATCACTGACGGAACCTTGACGTTGGTTTGTTTTAGACCTATATTTGAATCAGTCGCCTCATTCCCTACCAAGACTGTAATTAAGAACGACATACAAAGTAGGCGTCGTGGGGGCGGTATAAGACTGGCCGAGCTTGAAACGCCATGTAACGGCGTGAGGTGCTTCGCCATCGTCCAAACCATCACCCTCCTCATAGTCAACCGAGAGAAGAGTGTATGCCTTATATGCTCGTCTGACATACACTTCGAGTGCCGCTGTTTCCCGGGTTAAGTATGAGGACTGACTAAATTGCTTAGCATGACTCACCGAGAGCAATCCAAGGATCCTCATGATTGAAGAACTTCGGCAGTACATCATAGACAGAGTGACGAGAATCAGTCAATTCTTTCAGGACTTCGGGGTGGGGATTTCTGGTGATGAATGAGCTTTGACTTGAATTCACATAAATGAAATCCACAAACCTATGGTCATAGCCTTGCTCTCCGTAGTACGTGGTTGAGACGGACTGTTTGAGCACGGCCTCCATCTGGACAGCCCTCTCTTCATACGATGGCATCTGACCAGTGATCAGTACCTCACGTGCCTTCAATGACACGGCTGTCGATGACCTGGAGGACTAGATGAGAAAAGATACTCGATTGAAAATACGATACGTACTTGGCTTCAAGAGCGGCGAGTCCTTGTAACACCTTGTGAAGCCTGCTCTCTGGATTCGAGATGTTCGGTCCGCTCTTCACTTCATCCAAAATAGCTAAGACGAGCTTTGCCTTGCTCTGGGCCTTCAAATGGCTCAGCACCAGTGCAGCAACCTTGTCTAGGTCATCCTTGAACTGATCACGCAGGCTTAGCACTCGCGCCTCAATGCTTCCGCCGAAGAGCTTCTCTGTTTCTTCATACCGCTCGAGTAAACCAGCTAACGTGTCGATCTCGTGCTGTTTCAGACCTGACCGATAACGCTCCGTGATATCATACAGCACACTGAGTTGTGTACGGATCATGGGACGTTCTGGAGCTCGGACTTCGGAAGTAATAAACTGGTCAAGTTGTTTGCGGATCCGGGCCGCTGGAAACTCAAGCGTGGCACTCTTGTGTGCGCTATTCAAGGAGGAACGCACACTCTCCTCGAGTTTCGCTGGCATACGACCAGAAAGAGTTGAAAGAATGGACGAAGCCTCCGAAAACGGAAGTTCGTGGTCACGTAGTACGGCAATAAGGTCCTTGAGAGTGGAAGCCATGATTGCTTGATTGTCATATCCATCGAGAATGTTAATAAGAATATCGAGATTGAAGGCGAATCGCTGATGGGACTTGTTTCCATCCACCGTGGGTAGGCCCATCGGAGGCAAGAGACCACCGAAGGGCTTCGCATGATTGACTCGAGCAGGGTCGTCTAGGCTTAGGATACCGAGAATATCACCCGGTTCGAGAGATACGCCTGGTTGCTTAACAAACTGCACAATGCCGTCTTCAGTCGTAACAAGCGGCATATACATTTTCATGACCTTGATAGAAAACAATAGTTGAGCTACCGGAACGCGCACAATCAATAATGTCATACCTCAATTTCGGCATAAGGTTCACCAGCATTGACGTGATCGCCGCTTTCAACTAAGAATCTGACAAGTTTACCTGGACTTGGGCTACGAAGCTGAGTCGGATCATTTTCTTGCTCAATCAAACAAGTTTTCGAGTCGATCATCAATCGGATGGCGCCGACTTCTTCTCTCCAGTATACAGAATGGCTTTTCCCATCCAATGAGACAAGTAAGCCTCCGCCCGCTAGCGGCCGTGCACCGACCATCGTGCGGCCGCCATTGATGTACAAGGTCCAAACACTGGCTGAGGAGCGCGTCGCGGTAAACAGATACTTTACGTTCTCATAGATGAAATCGACCGAGAATACCGTCTTAAGCACGTCTTTCGCCGGAACTTGGCCCTTATCAAGGATGCGGCGGTACTCCGCCCAGCAAGCTTCAGAGGCAAGATAGGCCTTCGTAACTGCACCGCATATGACAGAGAGGACATTGTCAGGTCGTTCCGCAGTCAGCTTGTTACTGATGAGAGAGTCAAGCCAGCCCGTGGTAATCGTATTCTCCTCGAATGCGCGTGTCTCCAGAAGCTTTATAAGATATTCGACCGTAGTGCGGAAGTCACCTCGAATGCTCAGCTCTTTCAATGCAACAACCATATTCTTACGGCTCTCCCCACGGTCTGCACCATACGCGAAGATATGTCCAAATTGACTGTCAGCAAACTCATGTAGACCACCGGCGGAGCCAACACTGAAGTAACCCCAGACGTTCGTATTAGAACGGAAGTTCAATTCTTGCAATGCACCGCTTGAAGGTTTGAATCCGGCATCGGGGTTCTCTGCAGTGATACGTACAGCGACAACATGTCCTTTCGGTTTGGGCTTCCTCTGGGCAGCGTTCGCCTGTGGATCGACCATGTCGAAATCTATTTCGGAACCTGAGTGCGGTGGAACTCCATAAAGCGTACGGATATCGCGTATGCGGTGAAGCGGGATGCCCATAGCGACCTGCAACTGTGCTGCAGGAAGATTCACGCCAGTCACCATTTCTGTGGTGGGATGCTCGACTTGCAGACGTGGATTGAGTTCCAGGAAGTAGAACGTATCGTCCCCATGACTGTACAGATACTCGACGGTGCCTGCACTGACATAACCGACAAGCTTTGCAAGACGAACCGCAGCGCGCTCCATTTCACCGAATGTCTGTTCTTTTGCGATGGTCACCGGTGCTTCTTCAATAATCTTCTGATGTCGCCGCTGAACCGAGCAGTCACGGCCGAAAAGAGAAATTGCGTTCCCGTACTGATCAGCAAGAAGCTGTACTTCTAGATGACGTGCTTGACCGGCCAGCTTCATAATGAAAATCGGCGAGCCTTGATGAATGTTAGTGAAGTAGAATTGTGATACAGACCATTCAGTCACCTGGGACTTCTCCGGCGACAGCAAGGAATGCGTTATTGAAGTCGGCAGCTTTTTCGACCTTGCGTATACCTTTACCGCCGCCACCCTCACTGGCCTTGATCATGACAGGCCATCCAATTGCTTCGGCCTTGGCAAGACCTTCCTCGACAGAGAAGGCGCATGCGTCCTTGTAAGCCTTGTCAGGCACTGTCACAAACCCTTGTTCCGATAAACAAGTTTCGGAGATCCCAGTTCCAGACCAAGCCATGGTAGGGACTTCTGCACTCTGTGCAACGATAGTTGAGGAAATTTTATCGCCCAAGCTGCGCATTGCACTACCAGGAGGGCCAATAAAAACGATTTTGCTCTTGCTCGCAGCAAGACTTTCTGGAAGGCGGGGATTTTCAGAAGCATGACCCCAGCCTGCCCATACAGCATGCACTCCAGCGCGTTCTGCAATGTCAACGATGAGCTCGACGTTTGCATAGTTATGGTTGTTCGTCCCCCCAGGCACTTCGACATAGCGATCAGCCATGCGAATGTACTCGGCATTGACCTTCAGATCCTCTGGAGTCGCCATGACGGTAAACTCCACGGCTCGCTCTGTGCCAAACGTTTCGTAGCTCCATTGGCGAATAGAACGAATTTCCTTGACAGCAGCAATACCTGAAGAACTTGTCAGTACATAACGCTTTAATTTCGTCAAGGGCGCGGGTGGTCGATCCACCGGACACCACCATCGTTTTGCAAGGGTTATGAGATAAGACAGCAAAAGCCGAAGTGAAACAATTTTTACGGGACCTCCTCACGTCGAGAGGAGCCACTCCGGAAGAAAATTCATTGGAAGACTTGCTCACCATTGTTAGCAATTAAAACCTGCAAATCAAAGTTAGCTCGGTCTTGAACGAGCTAAAAGTAAATATGAAACACACTTTCGTAATGACGGTATGGCCGCCATGAGATTTGACGAAGTTGGTAACTTGGCCCGCCGAGGCCTTGTCGAGAGAATTACCACCTGTACGCGTCGTACGCGACGACGATCAGCGCGTCCGAGGTCGAAAAAATGGACAGTCAGGACGTACCAATGAAGTGGGAAACCCTGGCATGGTCGTAGGATGCCATTTTTGCCACTTCCGAGAGCGACTACGGCGACTAAAGACGAAGAGGTTAAAAAGCAGCGGAGGTGCGGACGCTGCATTCCGCCCCAGCATTGTAAGTACGTTGGGGAGAGCGTGTTTTTGGCAGCTCTTTCTCACGGCTACGGCCGCATCCTGAGTCCTGACGGGCTAATAAATTGGATAACGGCACCTGCGGTCTTACTCTTACAACAACCAGCAGTGCAGGCGCTTTACTCAACCTTGCGCATTGCGGTCAGCCTATTTTCTTACGTGAAGTTGTTTAACCCGCTAGACACCTGGCTTGGCTTAAAGGCTCAAAACGTGCACGTGAAGCCCGTTCTTGTTTCAATAATAAAGTTGGCTCGCGACTTTATGTTCAAATGCAGCGCATGAACTCTGTAATTCTACAATATAGTACAAAGTACTCGTCGCAGCAGTCGGAAGAACTTAACCTCAAAAGTACAGATCTGACATGGCACAATATCTTACCTCTCATGGACGGCTATTCTTGTCAACTCTCGGGTTAACTATGACGATCCGCGAGTCCTCCGCCTTGAGCATTAATCAAGCACACTTATTAACCTTGCTATATGTCTTCTCGACTTCATTATCCTCGAGGATATTTGCCTCCCAGAACTTTCCGGTCTCAGCCGCTTTTAATTCAAGTTGAGGTCTGGGCTCCATCTTATCGTCCCGAAGTTTGTCCGGATCCTGAGCTCCGGGATCAGTGGACCGGCCATTCCGATTCTATTCGCACTGCCGGGAAATGGTCAATACAGTGAAATGCATCCGTTATAAACAAGCTTGCAAGCTCTCAAGGTCCGAGCTCAACAGTTACCCACTGTTTCACACCCACACTCTTGCAAAACGGCGGAGGCAACGATAGCCAACGGTCGTGTCACTTCAGCAGAAATGAGCTCCTCTCCGCTTTTCCTTGGTCTTGACCTCTCGACGCAGCAGTTGAAAGCTATAGTCATCTCAGAAAAGGGTCACGTTGTCCATGAGACCTCCGTTAACTTCGACCGCGACTTACCGCAGTTTGGCACGAAGGGTGGTGCCATTCAAGGGATGGAAGCAGGTGAGGTAACGTCGCCCGTCGCACTATGGGTAGCTGCTATGGACCTTCTGCTCGAAAGGATGCACGACGAGCACGTCGAGGTCGGCCGCATCAGAGGTGTCTCAGGCGCAGGACAAGTGAGTGTTTCCAAATTTCAGTCTGAATAAACGATCGTGGAGATTTGCGGCTTAACAATTACGCAGCAACACGGGTCAGTCTACTGGTCGCATGATGCTGCGGCCCTCCTATCCGCTCTCGACGCTGAGAAGTCGCTCACGGAACAACTGGTTCCGAGGGCATTCTCAATCGAGCAGTCGCCAATCTGGCAGGACTCTTCGACCACGAAGGAATGCAGAGAACTCGAGGAAGCCGTGGGTGGGAAACAGGCTTTGGCTGATTTATCTGGAAGTCGAGCATACGAACGGTTCACCGGAACTCAGATAATGAAGGTAAAGATTCGAATCTTCGCGAAAAGCTGAACTCTGGTTTTACTTAGGGTCATCTTTCTTTTTTACCCGAATTAGATACGGAAGAGGAAGCCAGACGCTTACGTCGCTACTTCTCGTATATCCCTCGTGTCATCGTTCATCCCTTCGCTTTTCCTCGGCGAATTCGCACCCATTGACGCCGCTGATGCAAGCGGAATGAACTTGATGAACGTGTTCACCCACAAGTGGGATGACAGGCTTCTTGAGATATGCGGAGGACCTGAGCTTCGAGCGAAGCTTGGTCCGGAGCCTGTAAATGGTGGTTCGTTTGTTGGGAGAGTCTCTCCATATTGGGTGAAGCGATGGGGTTTCAGTCCAGGTAATTCGAGTACCAAGCAGATCCTTAGACTTGCTCTTATCTCTCTTTCCTATGTATAGACTGCCAAATTGCACCGTTCACAGGTGACAACCCTGCGACTGTAGCATCCTTCTCCGAGTCCGGTGATGCAATTCTTTCCCTTGGGACTTCTACTACCTTCCTCCTTGACATCCCTCCCTCCAAACTTGCCCCTGCGCGATTCACGACGTCACACCTCCTTGCTCATCCAGCTGACGAGGACAGGTCGATTGCTATGCTCTGTTATAAAAATGGCGGGCTTGCACGTGAACAAGTTCGTGACACCCACGCCGATGGTTCCTGGGAGAAGTTCAACTCTGCCGTCGAGACGACACCTCCGGGAAATAATGGACATGCAGGGTTATATTTCCCTCTCGTTGAGATTATCCCAGACTGCGTACATGGTAATTTCTACTTTAAGGATACACAACCTGTTCAATCGATACCAGAAGTTGCTCACCCACGCGCAATCATCGAGTCTCAATTCCTGTCTGTAAAGTCCCGCGTCGAAGCCGTTCTCCCACCCGACGCGCCACATCTAAGACGACTGATTCTCACAGGCGGCTCATCTGCAAATCCAACGATCCGTCAGCTCGCAGCAGATATCTTCGGATTACCTGCTTACGTATCTGGAACGAAGGAGGCTGCGGGCCACGGTGGTGCAGTGCTTGCTTTATATGCATGGGTGCGAACGCGAAATGGCGGACAGGGCTCTTTTGACGACTTGAAAGGTCATATTGCAGATAATATGCGGTTGGTAGCAACTCCGAATCCGGAAATTACAAAGTTGTATGAAGGGTTGGTAGGTCCGTATCGGTCTTGTGAAGACCAGGTAGTCAAGACCTGTGCTGAACGAAGGCGGTTCTGAACTTTTCATTAGCGGGATGGTTTTTGCTCGTCGAGAAAGTAGAAAGGTGGTGGAATATTTCGGATGGTTGTTCTCTTTATCCCCTACTTCTCATCATATCACAACTCGTACAGTTTCACACGCGTATGAAAAGAAAGAACAGATAGTCAGTGTTGTGTTGGCGATATGGGTGTCTCTATTTTCCCTTTTTTTTTGTTGGTTTCATGTTCCTGACCTCGCGATCTATGTGCGAATGTCTGAAGTAATTCAGATGATTGAATAACAATTAATTAATATCAAACATGGTTTACTCTACATTCATCCTGCTCTCCTGCTCTTCAAGATACTGACACCTCTTTCACCAATCCATCCTGTCGCCCCGAAGACAGATACGTAGACGATTGTCTTAAACGTCTAGTGCGCCCACTCCGGTATGAAGACTGGGACAAGTGAAATTGCAGAACCAACAAAACTGTAGACTCCTACAAACGATATTGATTCAACAGTTGTTAATGCGGGTAGACTGGGACGATAATGGGCAATTAGAGATGGTGAAGTTAGTCTGAGTAAATAAATTAGCAGTATGGATAGGAGAAACTGACTAGAGTGCAGCAGAGCAGCCTGCAGCCAAACTTACTCCAAATACCGTCGCAATCGTCCTCTGTCCTGCAGAAACGTCTGCTTCCACATCAGTTGCAGCACCTAATGCATGTACACCAGCTGTGCAAAATGCCAAAAGCCAACCCTTCTCTCTCCAGCATTCACCCCAAAAAGCTCCGAGCCTGAAGAAGTGTACCCAAGTGCCCAAGATGACCAAACAAGGGCGCCGTTGGAGAGCGAGTCCAGTATGGGCCTCTCCTTGAGACGAAGAGGGGGAGAGGAGTACTGCCAGCCGAGAAAGAGGATGAATGTAGTTAAGGTTGCTTGGTGGAAATTTCGCATTGATGATCGCGAAGGGGCAAAAGACGACAGGAGAATGAGTGCTTAGGCGACACGCGCTGAAGAAAGTACAAAATCACGATAGATGGGGTTCAAAATTCCACCCTCCAATGACTGTTCATGTTTGCGTGGGTTGCGTACATCGGATGGATAATCATACACGTCATTCACACCGAATACAACTGATCCGGAAGGTTAGTTGTTAAGTAAGTATACCTGAATCACGTTTGACGTGACTCACTGATACATAATGGAAAAGACAAACAGAAGAGTTGAAAACCAGATCGTAGAATGTCTACAGTAGTCTTTGGGAACACGCGAGAGTGAATTACGCCAATCGCGTGGAGAATTGGTCCAAAGAACCAGCCAGAAATGCGACTCGCTCTAATCAATACCAGGAATCGCTGTAGCGTACTTTCAAACGTCATGACAGAAGTTGTGTAAGGTCAACAATAGGTAAACCTAGCTTCAAAACCGTCCTAAGGCATCATAAGTTATATAAGAAATCAGATTCGAACATGGCGGCAGTATGTTATTCGAATCACGGTCTATATTTAGCTGCATTACGTAATTACTAAGCTCAAACACGCATATAGTGCTACTTATTTTCTTTTCCCCTGTATTTGAATCCTGTTACTCGCATTTCCAATATTCTCCATGGTAACCTGCTTATTTAAATGCATAAACAGCCATCTAATAACTTATTTTCACAACAGGCTTGCTATAACATGCACTCTACTTGATCTATTGCTGTGCATACTGTTTCAAATCAAACAATTATTATTAGCAACTGCTGTGATGTTGGACCCTGATGTGACCATGCCTCTGATTCATGAGGGCAGTGCTGAGTGTACTTGTCCTCCACAGTAGTTCTGTGTCTTTGTGATACGCCTTCTCTACCACTGCTAAGCACACTCTAGTTGATCTGTCACAATCCATTATGTCAAATACAAGCTCTCATGGAATCCAGCTAGCAGAGCCGGTTTTGAACGAGCACGACTTTAAGGAGCTTCGTCACCTAGAAAAACAAGCTGAGCACCCGAAACCTAACATCCTAGGTATCCTCTTAGAAAGGTGCTCCGACTTGGATCTCTCAGGAAAAGTTCATGGGATCAGTGCAACTTAGAAAGCTCATGGAGGATATAGCGATGTTTTCACAGGGATAATAACGAATGGGGATGGGGCAGACATTAAAGTTGCAGTGAAGAAACTACGTGTGCACGCCATGAAGGATGGAAAGTTTCAGAAGGTAAGTTGTCACCCAATCGACATATTCTCGATTGACCTGTTGATGAACATTTGTTTCTTGCATGTCCATAGAGACTGGCAAAGGAGCTGTACATATGGTCGAAGCTCAACCACCATTGCATTTTACCTTTGGAGGGATTCTTTGTTGAGGATAACTGCTGCCCTTCCCTGGTCTTGAAATGGATGAAAAATGGGGACGCGCTTGACTATCTAGTTGCGAATCCTGGTGCAGATCTGTTATCCTTGGTGCATACAGTATTGAACATGTCATATTTACAATATCTCATTCCTTTATTAGGTTACCAAAGTTGCGGAGGCCATACTTTATCTTCATACAAACAACATAGTCCATTCTGACATAAAACCGGTTCGTTCCCACTATGAGACATCAACTCTGGGTTGCTACTAAATCCCAATCTCCAAAGGACAACATCTTGATATCCAACTCGGAAGAACCTCTGCTCTATGACTTTGGGGTATCTCGCATGCTCACAGATCCGAAATCTATGCAATTCAGTAACTCGTCAGCAAGCGAGCTTAGGGGAACCATCCCATACACAGCAAAGGAAATCCTTGCTGCTACAGACAAAAACCAGTGAAATACTCTGAGGAATCAGATGTTTGGTCGTTAGGAATTACTTTGGAATGACTGTATATGTAGGGTAATTCCTAATGATAATAGCTAAAAAGCTAATTATTGAATTATAATAGCTCTCTTGACAAAGCAGCCACCATATCACGAAAAAGCAACTGCAGCCCAAGTTATGATGGCCATAATCCAGGGCTCCTTGCCAACTATTCCAGCCAAGATCGAGCAGGGGTCCAGTCGAGATTATTATATGTGGAGAATGTGCGAGTTCTGCTGGGCTGTGCCACAGGAGAGAGGATCGATAAAATCCCAGTTGGAGTTTCTGAAGACCATGGAGGCCGAATTCAACGTGGACTTGCCTGCAAGCAACACGTTAGCTCGCAAATCTTGGAGTATATCACCTCATTTAGGCGTTTTTATCTTGTGGAACTAACTATTTGTCATGAAATGTACTGTTCTTGCAATGGGTGGAGCTCCAGCAGGTATGTATTAAGCTCCAAAGTATCCCTCATTGATATACTGTTTGGATACATCATATTTTATTAAAGGAGCCTGTCTGCACTTCTTCTTCGCTAGAGATACAGTGTGGACTACACAGGAAATCTGCTTCACCATTTTCTTAACAATTGTTTTTCACAACAATATTTTCAGTACTCGTCCAGCATTCTACGCTGGACTGGAAAATTGTATGTGATATTCGTGCTACTATTTCTCTTATTAAAAGCTGGACTCTCATCGTCTTTCCGTGCCTTTAATCTGATACTTGTAAGCGTGTCTGTGATACTTCGTACCAGATATCGTCATTGATAGTCTTGCATGTATATAATTCCTCTAGATCTAGTTGCTGCCGTGCCCTATATAGAGAGAAATAGATGAGACGGCTTAACCATGCCTACATCTTCATAGCATATACCCGCAAATAGTATATAAATACAGATATTCATAAAGATGTCCGTTAAGCATAAATACATAAATACTATCGTATATGCGTGCTATCTTTCACGTACGTACGTGAACCAATCTACTATTTCTTCTTTGAAGCAATTTTGCTATCGGCTCCTGCAGAGTTAGTCTTCACGTCCGTGTTTGCCGTACGCCCAATTCCAATTTGTGAGATCCCTGTATCGTAAATAGTGTAGAAGCGTTGTACTGTCCACAGCAATCCCGTCAGCGTCTGAACATAAAACTCGCAGATCCAATACGTACGCCACACGAAACCGTTGATGAAATCCAGGCCAGTTCCGCTCGCTGATCCACTATCGGCAGCGACGAGATAGTAGGCATCTGCGTCACCTCCGAGTGTGGCGTTTAGTGACCGTGGCCAGATCTGCGCGTCAGGTATCCATTCATATGTCTCTTGTGGATCCTTGCCAATCGTGAAATACAGTGAACCGAGCTTCTTGAACTGTGCTTCCGTGAGCTTGAGCAAGCCTGTTTTATCGTCAAGCTCTGCACCAGTGGCAGCCTTATATGCAGCGAAAGCATCGCTAGCCTACGATAGCAATGCATGTTAGCTTTTCACCATCTCAATGGAGAGTTTGTAATACCGACAAGATAGAGGAGTGTTGTACCCGTGTCCAGTATCCCTGCGGTCTCCTTCAAGATTGGCTTCAGGGTTGTTGCAGACTTCGGGTCAGCTCCAGATGGCCCGTATGAGATAGATTGATCGATGCCTTATCAATGTGTTAACAAAACAGCAGATTGCATAAAAATGTCTGTCTCACCCCAGTAGTTACTTGCCGGGCTCGTCGAAGTAACGGGGAAATATGTTAACTTGCCAGTGACCTTGGTATGGTCTTCTCCACCGAAACAGAGCTGGCCATTGAGCTTGCCTGCGCTGTCGATGGTCGGGGCATAGAAGATACCGAGCGAATTGTTTGGAATTAGCTTTTCTTCGTATAGATTGTCTGTAACGGTGGGGACCTCCTTGCCATCCGAAACGGTTCCAACAGTCAGTGCAACAGGGCCAATACCCAAAATACCGTCAACGTCTTCAAAACCCTGCAGAAATTGAGGACATATATCGGATGAGAAGATACGTGTGGCGTACCTTGGCTTTGTCCTTCGTTGTAACACTCAGGCCTTGCTTTGGAATGACAAGGTTGGACGCCAGCGAAACGCGGTCATTGTACTGCTCTCCAGTGAATGAACCGGAGCCATAGGAAACCTTCACCGTGTTTCCTGTATCCTCTGCCGTCTCCGACGGCTCGTATTGTTTGTTTGCACCAACCTGGGGTTGTTTATCAGTCCAAGTGTTTCATGCAGGGTATTTAGTAAACGTACGAAAGTATTGGATGAACCTGTATCGATCCTAAAATGAAATACATGAGCGGTACGAAAGGTCGCAGACAGCGTGGACTTACAGAAGGGTGAATTTCTCGTCATTGGCTCCTACACCGACTTCTATAGTATATGTTACGCCCGCGTCTGTGACGTCGATGGTCGTGGTGTCATTGGAGAATGGCTTTTTCGAGAATAACGCTTTCTTGACGTCGTCATTGTGCACAGCTGACGGACCGAAAGGGGTGCACCCTTTCAGATGTTTCTGAAGTCGGCACTCGTCGCAAGCGTGGATCTGGTGAGCAAGTGATTTGTGTTTCTCTGCATCGTGTTTTAGATTGATGCGTGCTACGATATCGACGCCCTGGGCCTTCGCGTATGAAGCCGTTGAAGCCATAATGTCTTGTCTAAACAGATAGAACAGACAATTGAGGGAAGCCTCGGATAAGATGATGCCTGATAGGGTAGAGCCGTCTTATACCTTCATTCTATCATCACTCTTCACAACCGTTGATGCACAACGCGGTAAGACCTAGGCGGATGGGGGAAATGGTAATGCTACCCGAGAAAAGGATAGTCAAGAGGCTTCGAAAGTATGCGCTTTGCGACTCCATTTGGACACAAAAGGCATGAGAAAGTTAATGAAGTTCTTCCAGAATACCCCGACTGTAGATCTTATTATTATTATTTTGGAAACGCCATTGCGCTTGCTCCGTACAGTGCAGCGTCAAAAGGAATATCCAGTGGGCGAAACAAAGATAATAAAATCGTTCGATGCCACACAATTGTGACGTTGGATCATTGGATAGCTATACCTTTACCTGTTCCTCTAAGAGTATCTTTGCATATATCGTAATTTGGTCCTTTCGAAACGGCTTCACATCGGAAGTAACAGGTTTTCCGGCCTTCATAACTGGTTCTCGGTTTCTATTTTTGCTCCAAGGAGAGCCGTTATCTATGTGGCGATCTCATTCGTACTCCGAGGACGACTCAAAGCTGTGGGAGAACTAGGATACATGATAGTGGCGTTTGAAAGTTCACTTGTATAGAGCACTGCCAAGAATACGGCTACCAGAAGTTGTTCTCCATTGGACAAGGCATTTGCCTTTATTTCCGAGGAAAATGTGTTGCAGGCCTAGTATCAACAAGGGAAAGGTGAGTATACAGAGGTTAATTGAGCAAAACGACGTGGCGAGAGATGAGACGCGTCAATTAAAGCCCTAGTGCAAATGCTAATCATGATCAGCGTCCCAAAAATAGTCATTTATTTTAAGAGAACATACTGAATTTCTTCCTGACCGGATTCTAAATAAGAAAAGCCAATACCAACTAGCAGCTGAAAGGAATGGTACATATTAGAGACCCGGTGAAAATTCTACCAAATGTTGCGAAAAAAAACAGCGTAGGATACACAGCATTGGATAAAGCTACAGGTCTAAGTGGGAAGCTAAATGTGCGAAGCGTTCGATTAATCCTCAAACAAGGGGCGGAAAGTCTAGAAATCTCGTAATTCAGTCAAAGGGGGTTGATAAATAAGGTGAAGGCTACACTAACCTTCTCTGAAGACAAACTTGCTCCAGTCTCAAGCTGTGTCGGTCCCATTCCGATATCCTCGTCTGGGTCGTCGTGGTCTAGTTCATCCTTGGCACGCTCACTGCCGACCTCCATCTGATCTCCCGTGTTGTCCGCATCCAGAGCCGTCGGAGCGGACTTCTCCACAACAACTTCTACGCCCTCGCTATCGAGCATGGCCGCAAATTCCTCGGCATCCATGTCTTCGATTCCAAGCCCTGACTCGCGGATCGCTTCGATGTCTGCAGCAGAAAGCTGAGAGGCAAGAAAAAGTGGCTGTGATTGTTCTAGTCCAGGGTCATATAGAGCGTTATTGTCTGCTTCAGTACCATTATGGAAATCAATGTCTCCGTTGGCAGAGCCGCGAGGAGCAGAGGTGCTAAGTGCACGCTGCGATGCGTTCCCATTTTGTTGCACAATAGATGACCGAGGCGTGGTGCGCATTCGTGCGGAGCTGTTTGTAGTTGTATCCTCTTCAAGCCCACGTTTTCTCGCGCTTGGAACGCCCGACACTGAGCGACTACTGCCATTTGTCTGACTTCTCTTTAGACGCGCCTGCTGTTGATTTGAGTCCTCGGCTCGGGCAGGGTTAGTGGCGATGATAAAGAGCATATTACATCCATCTGCTTCCGCGCTGATGCATACTGGTTGTATGGAAGTGGTAAATCGGAAATCAATGGGCGTGTTCAAAGCGTCCGCTAGCGTGATAATTGCCTACCCATTACTTCGCGTAAGTTAGGCGGAGAAACGAATAAGAGAAATATCTTACATTGAATTCTCGGAGGAAGAAGCCCAGTGTAAGTGGGGCAGTGGGGACGTTATAGTAATCAAACTCGTCAGCTCCGAGCGTCAATTCCGTCGCAAGCTGTGATTTGCCTAAAATAACTATCTTCACAAAATTGCAGACAGCAATTATATTACACTTGCTCACCTTTCGCGTCAATACCCTTCTCCATACTCCTAACCTTCACTTCATCTTCCTCAAACCTCCAAACAAGCTCCGGGTCACTCCTCGCGCTCTTTCCACCTGGAAAATGATCTATAATCTCCTTTATAGCGTGTGCCTGTACAAGGATTCGACTCTCTTCTTGACTGCTCGGTATTAACGGCGCCTCATCGCTCATGGGAGAATTAAGTAGTAATTTGTGTGTCTTGACTATCCCGTGTTTGCAATGTAATCGAACGATGAACCGACTTTCGAATGAGTCCGCGCTTTCACCTATACCAGAATCTGGCGATTGGGGTCCGTCGATTATTATTAGATCGCATTTCTCTGCTGTCTTGTCCGTGTTCCGATGTTTTAATATCGACAGCAGAGCCTTCATATTCTTCAGTTCCAATGCACACTTCATACTAAATGCTACAATACGTACCTTAGTCTGTAACATCCACTTCGCACCTGGTCCTCCGTCCGCTTGTACTTGACCATTACTCCGCGAAGGTCCCGCATTATTCGACTGGCCTGATACCGAAACAACATATCGTAGAAAGAAGTTTTTCCTATAGGTGAAGCTACAATATGCCGTCTTTGGGAGATTTAGCGCTGATAGCACGAGTCCGTCCTGTCCAGCGTGGATGATCATCTCGTCTCCATATTTCGAAATACATGTTATAGCTCGCGTGAATGCTATACAAGAACCTTAGTAAGGAATCGTGGGGGTGGGTGATATGCTCACGTTTGAGAGCCCTTGCGTCTAGCGTTACTTGCATGTTGCTTGAGCTACAAGGTAGCTACTAGCAGAGCAAATTCACGCGCGGAAATTACAAGCAAAATACACGTGACGTAACGCGACTTTCTCAATCCTGTTGGTTCCCTGACGCATGTATCCTCCTCATTAATTCAGTCCTATTGACTATCTAAGAAATTACATGAAACTATACGTGCATCATAATGGCCAATATCATCTCCCTTTCGCCGCCCTCAGAACCATATCTTCTAACGTGATGGCTCTAGTCTCCTCCCCATCGACTCCAGGTGCCCACACCGCGTCATCCAAAAGATATACAAGTAAACCACCCTTCCCATCCACACTCTTTGACACGCGGAATAGTGGCATACGCGACTTTTCGTGTACTTTGCCCGCAGGCATGAATAATAGGTTGTGCGACGTGACAAACTCCTCAACGATTTCGCGGAACGTGATTTCCTGTGCTCGGGCTGGACGTACACGCGCCGTCGCTGTGTCTTTCTTGTCCTTCGGCATGCTTGGCTTGCTATCCGTATCTGGACGGCGTGTATGATCGGGTTTTGGTAGTTTCGTAGGCGCTTCTGGTCCTAGCTCAAGCGCATGGTTAATCATTTGCAGCCCGCGCGTAAATCCGCCTTCAACTGCAGATATAGAGCGCACGTCCTCAGGGAACGTAGTCTTCCAGAATTGATACCACTGTGCGACTTCCTCGAAGTTTACACTTGGCTGAATGAGCCAGATGTACAGTACGTCGAGCCATTTTGGGAAGAATTCCGTCTCGAGTAGTTGTCCGGTAATACTTGATCGTAAGATGCTGGACCAAGCAAGTACGTTCTTGAGTGGCTCCATATCTTGGTTGCGTGGGTTTATTCGGAATTCGTCCCGTAGAAGAGCACCGAGCTTTGGAACGACATATTTGAGGAGCATATCCTCCCAGTCTTTCGCGTTGAAGATCTAGGTAAAGTTGTAAATATCGAAGTCATCTACTAAGAAAATGCCGAATACCTCTTTCCATGGCAAGAAATCTTTCGGAACACCTTCGCTTGGAGTCCAGCTACGCAACATGCTCTTAACTTTCCTCCTTGCATCGTCAACAAACATCTCCATCCGCAATCCGACATGAGGCAACCACGGAAAGACGATCGCTTGCAACGATATTTCGCTTCGCCTTGGGCTCCAATTCGATATCGCGGAGGAAACTTTAGGCAGGATGAGTTGGTCCAATATGTTATCTTTGATAAATAAAGGAAGGACATCCGACCAGGCCTCGTATAGTTTGACCAGTGCTGCTGGATGAGATGGTGACCAATCGTTACTAGATAATGATAAATAAAACCGTCTAGTCGAAACTTGAACAAACATACTTGACTGTTGACCGGATCCTAGGTAGCCAAATGTTCCATAATAAGCTCTCATATGGCGTCATAGGCACGTCTCTGTTAGATAAGGTGATAATTAGAAAAAATAGGGTACGAGACGATAAAACGTACACTTGAAGTGGCCTTGGAGAAACTCTCTGTGTGCCGTACACGTCAACTTGCATATCAGCTTCAGGCTGGACAACTGTCATCTTGAAGGCCTGCCTCCATCTACGAAGTGTCGAAGTGAAAGCAGTCGGTTCGTCCAAGGGTCTCCAGGAAGCCATCATTCGTCGAAACTAGCAAAATATTAAGGCTAAAGCACTTTAAAAAAGCGAAAGCAGACGTACCGTAGGAACAATAGCACCAACGACCACCTCGTCGAGGCGATAACGATCATACTCCTTCGAGAATTCGGAAATGAGCTTTTCAACGACCGCAGAGAATACATCGAGTGAAGGTTCGTAGTCCGACAGATCCGCTTCTTTTGCTTTGGTAGAAATATCATCTACAACGAGGTGGACAGCCTGGAGTCTGCGAATAACTAGACAATATATCAGAATTAGTTCAGTGCACAAAGGTACTTTAACTCACGCTCTGCTTCGCCCTCGATCTTCTTTCTCAGCCTTGGGTCCTCTGCCTGAATCCACTTTTTACGCTCTTCAAGAGCCTTCGCTTCTCGAGCGAGACCGTCCAAGTCGACCTTGCAAGCTTCGGTGATAAGCCGCAAATTATGTCGTACTTCAGGTAGTCGCATAGGATCCGTAGATGGCGTCCAAGATGCAATTGAGACATCTGCCAGAGATGACACCTCTCGAAGCTGCATACAATGATTGAATAAGGCATTGCTATATGCTGCAGTTAGCTACTCACCTCTGCACCAGTGGCATCTATGATCTTCCCAATACCTGTGGGTGGAGGTTCTCCACCAGCTTCAGCAATAATCTCTTCGTACGTCTTATGCTCGACTTTAATCTTGGATTTCCTAGGTTTCCTCCATGCATCTTCTCTTGGTACCTGATCCTTTGCTTTACCCTTCTTGCGGTGTTTCTTGGAGATTTCTTCTTCGTCTTCGCTCACCGCCTCTCCTCGTCTGCGAGCCTCCGCCTTACTCTGTTCCGTCTTCTCTTTGAAGCCTTTGAATGCAATACCCATGCCTTTCGGGCGTAGTTTCGATTCGACGGGCGCTACAATACCTTGCCCCTCTGTACCGAGACCCTGACCCGCTTGCCAACCCATTTTAGACAACATCTTCGCTCCAAATGTGCCAGAGAGCTTGGTAAAGTGCACCTGTTCTGCGGCATTGAGCGGAGTAGACGGTCTCGTACCAGGTGCGGAACCAGATCCATCACGAACAAACGAGCGTTGAGGTCGAGAAGCACCGAATGCCGAAGGTAGACTCGAGCGAGCATCGCCGACCACAGGTTCTGCACGACTTGATGAACCGATTCCGCCCTTATTGGACCCAATCCCACCTTTACTTATTCCAAATCCACCAGTTCCAAATCCGATGCCTGAAGATGAGAACGATGGAGTTGATGTGCCACCTTCAGCCATATGCTTAGAGCCGATTCCACCAATTCGGGGAGCAATATCCATTTCCGCTTCGTCATCTTCCAGTCGGACACGTGGAGATGCTGGCGGTGAGGCCGCCTCGCTTTCATCGCCATTGCTATCACTCATACTGACCTCCTGGATTTCGGGTTCCTGCTCGGGTTCGCTCTCGGGCTCAGTCTGGGCCTTCTCATTCTCTTCGCTAATATCAACCTTCTTCTCACCTGAGATGAAGGCAGGAGCTCTAAAGAAGACTGATGAGTACTCACTATGAATGTACCATCATCGCCTACACGTACTTTGTCCAGTCGCTACGTTTCACTGGCTTCTTTCCCCGGCCACCAAAGCCCTCATCCTCGCTGTCTTCTCCGAAAATCCCGTATGTCGCATCATCTTTGCCATTGGCTTTCCTGCGTTTCTTGCGACCGTACGGCTGTTCAAAGAGTTCGCGTTCGGCGCGCTCATCGGGATTCTCGTTCAACCCGAAGTCATTAATGTCGTCGTCATCTGAGCCGACAGACGAGTCCGAGTCATTACCCTCATCCAGATGTCGTTTTCTTCTTGCCATTGACGAGGGAGACAGACACGCGAGTGAAGAGTTAAATCACTAGAAGCGATGAAAGTTTCATTCATTATTTCACAGTAGTGCGTTGCATCACGTGCAGAGCACTATGAGATGCACATGATCTGTTTACAAATTACAGTACACATGGGGCATTTCACAATTCCTTACCTTAAAAAATAACTTACATAATGATAAACATTATTTGAAATTTATCTTCCCATTTCTGACCAGCAAAAATTATAAACAAAATTTAAAACTTTCTTTATACAAAAACTAGAAATTATTGTTAACATTTCTTTCATTTGTGAAATCTTGAAAT